TATATATATATATATATATATATAGCCCCCTACGACCCCAGTAACGGGAGTGCGTGGGAGTAATGGGTATTCAGCCCCACTATTCCATGCATTCAGTTGTCGCGAAAAATATAGACGAGTGTCCTGTGTGTGTCCATTTACGGTACCATGCATTTCCTCAGGAACTACGTTTTAGCTGCAGCTTTGGCGGTCCACATGATTCACATGGTGGTAACTGGCATATATTTGTTCGGTCTGAAAGGCACCTCCTTTGCAGTCGCGTGGCCGCAGCTGTTCCCCTCAGCTGCCTTAACGCCAAGAGACAGTGTGGCGTGGGCGGTGCCTGTAAACTCCTTCTGGTTCAGGGGGGAAGCTTCTCAAGGTCTTACCACTGGTTCCCTGTTCGTTTCTTCGCCAGTGGGGGGGCCTGGTATGGGGCTGTCTCCAGTCGGAACCGCTATGACCAAGTGCACTGGTCTTGGCCACCGTCTTGGTGTCGCCTCATGGGGCCTCCTTGCTGTGGCTCTCTCGCTGCCTCCACTAGCTGATATTCTCTGTGCTGTCGTCGGCTTTTGGTTTTTTCTTGCCGGAGATGCTAGCCAGGAGCAACTCGTGTGCATGGCGGTCGCCGCAACCATGCCGAAGCATTTGATAGGTAAGCATTTGGCAGGTTTGGCTAGGTGACAGGCTCCAGAGGGCCTGAGCCTAAAGTATTGAAGCTTTTCGCAACAGCTGTGTGAAAATACCTAAACTTGTTACCTCAATCCCAAACTACATGTTCCATTTTGCGGAAAGAGCCAGCTGCTATGTGGCTTTGCATTCTGCTAATCATGCACATGAGGTTGCATTTAGGTCTCCTGTGTATGCAGTTTATTTGCTGAACCTCGCGTGCGGCTCGTCAATGCGGGTTGCCTTTTTTGGAGTCTTGGAATTGTTATTTATGGCAGCGATTAAATTGCTCCTGTGCACCCTAAGTAAGCTGACACACAGCGAAGGGAAATTTTGTATAAGCGATTTCAATTTTGCATCCTTGTCTTCTGGAGCTTCTCTTGTGTAACTCATGGGTGGACGTTCAGCTTCAATGTACGCATCGCGGATCGATAAGCCCATCACTGCTTCATCCGCCTCCGCAAAGGAATCGAGGTTGCTCGCCTCAATTGCGCATGTGAGGGAGAGTGAAACACAGGCGATGCATTCCAGGGCATGCAATGCACACATAAATATCTTCGAAGAGCTGCGGTTTGTGGGTAGGCAAGAATAGATTGGGGTACAGTAAGATGGACACCCTGGGTTGAAAACTACCGTATCCAGACAAGTGTGTTTTCTTTCAGGAATGCGAACGGGCGTCGGAGACTTGCAGCTGCCTCCCATTCGAAGGCTGCACGTGAACAGCTCAAGAAGTAGAGGACTTGCCGTCCTCCGTTTTGTTAGTTGGCAGCGACGGAAGATTCAGGGTGAATCTGTGCCTCCCTTGCTACACTGCATGCGCATTCTATTGGACAAACCAGTGAATCAGGTGGCTCTGGAAGAAACTTAAAACATGTTTGCGGCGTTTCTCTCAACACAATGTATATGCAAGGCTTGGGGGTCCAAGCGGCAGTTCCCGCGTAATGTGTTAAAGCAATTCTACAGCGACTAGGTTGCAGTTCCGCTTTGGCACAATCGAAGTTTCGCAGAAGTTTCCGGAGCATTCATGATTGAATTCCCAACGGCCTATAAACAAGCGTGCACCCATGGATTTCTTAGTGCATACCATTTCCTATTTATCTGTGTATAAATTCAACTTTGTGGGGTCAGCTGGTGTCACTGGCTACGTCTTACCCTCCGGTACATCGGCTGTTAGGTGGGAGAGGATTCAAGTTTGCTGCCTCGTGAATAAGGTGCCTCTACAAGCGACGCTGCTAGCGTCGCTGTCATCCACTTGCAAAGATTAAGACTAATGCTATTTTGGAACCAGGGAAATATAGTGTCGCGCTATGAAGGAATCCCGTCGTAGGCTAGGAGAGCAGGGCTCCTGCTGCACTATATTAGATTCACTCTGGCCCAACCTACCCTCTCTTTCAGAACGTGCTTTTTAGTTATTTCTTTCCGAGAAAGGCCTTCACAATAGTTTAGAATTTACCTCTGGACTCGCGCATTATCACGTGTCCTAGGAAGTACCCTTGAGAAGGCAGACGAGCCTCAAATGCGCTTGTTCTACAAAAATATCCGGCGATGAGATGCCATTTTGAAACACGCAATGAGTACATGCAGCTAAATTTGCAATGCGGACTAAAGCCAACGAAGACCACCGTCATACAAATGAACACTGGCGCTCTTGCCCACTCTACGAGCCTTGGCAATGGGGCTAGCACTTCCTGCTGGCAGAGGGAAAGTACCTTTAGATGCCCTCAAAGCATACGTTCCAGAAATCACTTGCCTCGTGTGGATGGAAGTGTACTGAAACGGTAGCCTTAAGGCAGATTCAATTCATCACCACTGCGTACTGGTGGCAACCCAAAGAGGCTAGGTCTTCACCTTCTCCAACTGAAGCCCCCAATTACTCTTTGACAATACAGTGACTTCCAGGAAACAAGATTGTTCGGTGCGGAGAAGGCGAACTTGCTACAAATCTCTAGTCAGACACGGCTCCACTGTACTCGACACGCAAGTCACTGCGGCATCTACCCGGCGGCACTTGTTGCTGCAGCCACTAAGAACTGATCACCTACCAGCCTAGTCGTTCTCTTGAAACTTTTTTTTCTGTCTCACTTTTGAAGATTTTCTTGGGTTTCTGCATCCAGCTGCCCTTTTCACCGGGGCGGTCCACGAAGTCCGGGAAGCGGGATGTGCCAGCGGCCCCGCAGCTTGCCCGCGGGGACAAAGGTCAACCTCGAAGTGGCTAGATTGATGTAGGGCTTCAAATTTTATAATTATGGGCCTGTCTCGAAAGAGAAAAATATTTCTAGTCAATGGCGGGCCGATCAGCCCATGATTAGCGGCTCATCTGCCTAGAGGTGTCCATGAGCAGTTCATTTCCGTAAACACCCCGGGCCACTGTTGAACGCCAAGACAGTGTTCATCGGCGTTTTGAATAGAGCGTTCACCGATCTCCTTTGTGTGATTCCTGGGGACTGAGGGAGCCATGGGATAACACCCTAACTGGTGTTAATTTCTCCGTTCGCGGACGCTGGCGTGACGACTCTGCAATGTGCCGGCTTACCGCTATTATTACCCGAGGGGACCCGATTCTCCTTGCAGATGTTCTTACTAGGCCTCGCCGGAGTATTATTCAGCAGTCTTTCAACTGTCAGGTGTGTCTGTCCTCTCAATCCCTCAGCCAGCTCCTCACCCTGAAGGATACGCCTTTCCGCACACTCTGCTCCCGTGATCCAGCTTGTAGTTAAAGGCCTTGTGATTATTGCGTTGACCTCAACAGAATTGCCGCGCCAGTATCAGTTGTGTAGGCTCTACCTTTGCCCCACAGGAACGCCTGCGTCAAGATGATATTAGAAACGCCTACCAGAAAGCCTCGCTCAATGGGGACGGCTTTGGGGTTGGCTGGTACGTTACGAAATCCTCCAAAAATGCTTCCCCCAGCGTTTCCGCCTGCACAAATTTGAGCCTTTTTGGACCCTGTGGCGCCACTGGCGATGGAACAAACGGGAAGAAGACTCCAGATGCACATGCTGCCACTGCCAACCCCATTTCATCCGTCGACGATGGAGGTGCCTGCGTATTTACCTCCCTAAAACCCGCCTGGGCAGATAGGAATCTATACAATCTCGCCGAGAAGGTACGGAGATGCTTAAAACTTAGTGCCCCTCACTGGCGCAACACAGGGGGCCGACTGACTCTTACGTTTTCCGGACGCATCAAGAACACGCACTTGAGCAACGCGCGCTTAAGGATTTCAAGTGCTGTGTATCCGAATTGAAAAGCATTCTGGACCGGTCTGGGCGTTTTCAGACGCCTCACCAGAGTTGTTGCAGTATTCTTATCGTAAATATGAATGCAGGGACTTTAAACAGACATCACCCGCCGTTTGCCTCGGTGCGGCGTTCAACAACTTCACTCACTCACGCTTAGGCTTCCTCCACTGTTGTGTTTTCGTTTGCAGATCTCTAGCCGTTTGTTTTTTGCCCATGTGAGGGCGGCGAGCAGCACTTTGGGTGTATCGCACTGCGCTGGCTGCGATGGTGGTCTTCCGTCCTGGGCAGTGGAAAATGGTAGCGTCAGCACAGAGCTGTGCTGCCATCCCTTTCGCTGCGGCCGTTTTCTTTTTATGCACAATGGAAACGTGGGGGGATTCAACCGGATTCGCCGGTAAGCGGAGCAAATTCTGACAAAAAGGATCCTGTTACGGTAGTCAAACCACTACCAGTAACACTATGAGTGCTGCAGGAGGGGTCATCCAGCCCTTTTGGAAATCTCACGAACAGAATGTTTTGTGGGGTAATTTTTTGCGTGAGAAGAACTGCATCCTGAAGGCTACAAGAGCGCATGTATGGCCATTTATGCCGTAGGCTGCATCAAATGCGCCCGTCGCTTGTTTTTGCAGGGATCTACTCAGTCTCCTACCCGACCCCATGTTTTCTTTTGCGATAACGAATAGCTGTATTGACAGCGCCTGTCTGTTCGCGGTGTTTCTGGCCCTTCTGCCAAATAGTCCTACAGAACCCTCAACACACTCTGCAATGAAAGACGCTGTGGAACAAATGATTGCTACAATTTGCTGGCTGCTCGACAGGGAAAAAATCGAAGAAACAACCTTAATCAACATTGTGGTGTCGGATGGAGAGAGTATTGTAGCAACACGATTTGTTACAAATGCTCAAGAAGTGGCTTATGGTGAGATACGGAGCCTGAATTGTTGTATACAATGCTTGCTTCAGGCACGACGGGTCTATACTTACAAACACGGTCTTCCAATCCCCTAAATACCCAATCATGCAATCTTGCATAAGGGAGGGGGGGACCTTCTAGGAGCAGAACAAGCTGTAGTCATCGTTGCATTCGACAACTGCGCTTGGATGCTGTTGCACTTGAATTTCTGCAAGGCCAGAATCTTGATGCTTGCTCTTAAAAGTCGTTTTGAGGATATTTGTTTTCTCTTATGCTGCGATGCTTTGTGCTCAGTTTCGGGGAAGTCTTCCATCGTACCAGATCCAACAGGGGAAACTAGCCCGACAATGCCACCGAGTCTCTATTTTGCTACAGGAACTGCATGGCAGCAGCAGGAGGACGCGTGCGATGAATATCGCATGACTCACAAGGACAAAAGGTAAATTCGGCTGTTGGCATTTCAATGCTAACTGGGCTTGTGAGACAGGAATCCCGCGTCCAACTACTTAGCTGCGGCCAAGTGTTGTCGTATAAGCTCAGCATTGCCCCTCGTCCTTGTGTGACAGCCAAGGCATTGGGGTGATGACGGGAGAGCTGCATGATCATTATTATTTTTCGTGTGTATCTGCTTTCTGCTGTCTACATTTCAGGACGGATATATGCATTGTGACAAGCGAACCCCTTACTTCAAACCCAGAAGACTGGATGCCGGTGCCGAGGAACACCATGATTTTGATCACCCCAGCTATAGACCTTCTGCTGTACCCGATCGCTAGTGTTGGGTATTTGCCTTCGTTGCTGAGGAGCCGCCGTAGGTCTGGGTCCGTGGTGCCGCCTCAGGAGATAGAGAGCCCCTCCTCTGATAGGCAAATAGCTCTGCGTAAGTGCCTAGCGCCTTCATTAGCAGATAAACTCGAAGAAGAAATCGCAGCTTTGTTGAAAATAACTTCGAGTTCTTCTGTGGGGACTCTTCGCGCTGCCGATGAACTGCCGGTAATCATGCTACGCTCGTTAGAGGGCGTCATCCGTGAACTGGCAAGGGCTACTGAATCAACTGATGGAGAAGAAGCTGAGAAGCCCTGGCGAGCCTTGGAACTAAAGCTGCAGGGTTTGGAGAAGCAGCTGCGAGCGGCGCAAGTACAAAGGCAAGCGGTGGCTGCAATAGAAGATGGTCAATCTCAGAGCCCTCCTGGTTCATCTATGTGTTCTACTGGCCTGCCGCAGACAAATTTATATCATGCAGAGCTAAATTCAGAGACCCCAGGAACCAATCAGCAGTGCTACGAGCTCCTTGCAGGTTCCTGCGCCATCTTATGTCTTGAAACCATTCTGATACACGTAACAAGTTACCGCGAAGACAGTAAATCGAAATCGTTCTCTCGAACGCCTTCTTCAGCGCTTCCTGTGGCGGCAAAGACCTTTGTTTTCGTGGGCATGCAGAGTGGGGAGGTAGTCATCTACGATGCCACAAGCGCCTCAGTGGCGCCAATATCCTTTCAAGCGCATGTGGGAGGAGTCCTAGCCATGGCTGTCCACGCCAATATCTTCAGGAGAGGCTGTGTGAGCACTGGGCGAGCCATTGCATGCAAAAATTGCGGTTCTGCACTCCCGGAAGTCTTTTTAGTAACGGGGGGCAGCGACACCTCCTTGGCTGTTTGGGATCTTTCTCCGCTCATCTTTGGAGGTCGCGAGCCGCGTCTCCTCAGTGGCAAACGTGTATGCCTTGATGGTCCTAGGGTTTCTATTGATGCTGACGACTTATTGGCTGTGCGCCTTACCTTTCTCCCTCACCAGGGCGACGTCCTTTCATTGCTAGTGAGGGACTCTCCCGACTGTGCTCATACAAATGGCAGTCACCACGACCCATCTACGCGTACTTGCATAGTTGATACGTGTGAAGCTTGTCTTCAAGCAATACACGCGGCAATGCGGCTGGATGATAGCGGGGGAGCAAGTAATGTGGAATCAGCAGCTTCCCCGTTGACATCATTACCTTTTGCAGATCTCCATAAGATTCAGCCAAACCCTTTTGTTGATGAGCCAGAGTGCAATTTACTCTTATTCATTGGATTCCAGTCAGCCAAGATCGGGGCAGTGTTTCTAAATGATTTGTTGCGATATTTCCGCCATACACAGGTTATGGTCTCGGTCTTGGCGAATGCTGTTTCATTCCAACCAACGCAGCAGCAGTCTCTGCCCCTGAGTGTGTCCCGAGATTTCGAGCTGAGGACTCTTGCTTCAGGTCAACTGAAGGTGCAGTTTACTGGAGAACAAGAAGGGGAGTCTCTGCGCTCGCTCTTCACTGGGGATCCACAATGTGTGGCCGAGAGGTCTCAAAGCACCCACTCACCCACCCAAGACGAGAGCTTGCTTGCAATGGCTTCGCCTCGCCACACATCTGGACTAGCAAAGGGTGAATCATTTCGATGCCTCCTTGCCGGCTTTGCTCGGGCCCTCCGCAGCGTGACACTGCATGCGTCACATGCAGCGACAACTCTGTGGTCCAAGAAATGCTCTCTCTCTGGAAGACCTGGGTGCCTTTACCCGCCCACTGGAACAGTATACTGTTTTAAGGCGCCGCACGAGTTGGAGGTCCCCCTACCTGAAGGGGCCGCAGCGTCGGCCTCTCCAGGTACTTACAGAGTTGTCACTAGCACCTCAAGCCTGAAGATTGTGGCACAGCCACCTAAGCAAGATGGGGGGCTGAAGATAGAAATGCGGTTTTTGCCGTTTGAGCAATCTGGTGTAAAACGTCAACATTCGCACCAGTCTTTAGTCGGACCCTGGCTTGATGAAAGTGGGCACAACGGCTTTGTAGAATGCTTAACCAGCTGTGGCAGGAGAGTACTTTGCAGCGGTGGAGGCGATGGCCGGCTGCTTTTGTGGGGAGAAAATGGGAGCTTAGTGGGAGAGCTGTCAGGCCATCATGGAGGGGTGCTCTGCGTGGCATACACCGAGGTACCTGTAGAATCCCTTTGTCGAGATTTGCGCCGCTGGGGATCTAGGGATCACCTTCAAGTACAAAGTCCCCAAACCGAGTGCTCCAAAGTGCCTGATGACGTCGCGCATTCCCGGCAGGGTCTCTTGTTCAGTGGTAGCCGTGACAGGAGCATTCGCGTCTGGGCCCTCGAGCAGCTCGTGTGTATACAGACTTTGAATGCACATTCGTCAGAGGTGCTGGCCCTTGCTGCGGACGCCGGGCGAAACATCCTCATTAGCGGGTCTGCCAATGGCGAACTCTTCGTCTGGCAGCTTGACTTGATGGTTGTCGCCTTCGAACTTAACCTAAATGCGTCTCCTACGCTTGCGGACCATGGGCGCTTCACAGTTGGCGCCCGCCAAAGTTTTCGACCAGGCAGCGGCGAAGACCAGAAACGAGGCGTAGCTTTCACTGATCTACTGTTGGTGTCAGACTCCTCGTGCCTTGCTAACCACGACAGGGGGAGTCCTGGCACGTTTCCAAGAAGCCCAAATGCTGCCGGCAGCAAATGGGTGGGTGGTTTGCAGTTGTGGGCAGGACGAGGTGACGGCAAGTTGGGTGTTTGGAATATTGGCGAGAGAGACATGGACGAGGAAGAGTCAATCGAAGAGCCCTACGATCAGGCTAGAGCCGCAACCCGCGAGGCGTCCCTATCAAGCGATTGCGCAGAGGCTAGTGCTGCGTCGGCGTCGGAACTGAAGGGTGTTAGTAGCGCTAGAGCTGATGCAGGCATAATACAGCGATGTACTACGGGGTATAAAGGACGGATTGAGACTATCCCGATAAAAGCACAGCGCGGGATATGTGGCAGTCGAATTAAAGGCATGATTATCACCCCTGGGGCATCAATGCCTTCCTTGCCGCCTCTTACAACTGGGGCAGGGCTGGAGCCTAGAAGGAGAGACTTCTTGCCCCTCCTTGCTCAATTCGTTGCATACAAGTCAATTTCAGCCTCACGCTGTCCCCGGCACGTCAGCGGCTGCATCGGTGCTGCCAAGTTTGTCGCACAGCTCTTTGAGCAGGCACTTGGAGCTACGGTGGATATTGTGTGGCCTCGTCGATCAGCGGCGTCATCAGAGTTTGACGGTGATCAAGGAGAGGGACAGCCGCATCCTGTGGTGTTTGGCCGTCTAGGTACTAATCCACAACACCCGACCATCGTCTTTTATTCGCATTACGATGTGGTATCCGCAGGGGCTAGCGCTTCGTCTTCTGCGCCTACCCCTTCTGACGGATCAGAAGGCTCAGCTTCTCCCATTACTGCTGCGGCGTCTCCGACCGCACTGCCACGCACTGGGGTTTTGCCGGCTGGGACCCAGCACTCAATGCGCTGCAGCATTGAAGCGGATGCATGTGGAGACAGCATAAAACGCCGAGATAATCACGCAAAACACTCGGAGTGGCATGGAACGGGTTGGCACTCCAATCCTTGGAGAATCCACTGCAAAGATGGCTACATATATGGGAGAGGAGTGACTGACAATAAGGGACCCATAATCTGCTCATTGTTAGCCGTAAAGCAGTTCATAGCAGAATGGAGGCGGAAGCATAGGGTAAACCAGACAGCACACGATCAATGTTCACAGCCGAATACCACCACAGGTTCAGCCAGTCAACATCACGCACCCGCCAAGAACGACCATGCAATTCCGTTCAACTTCGTGTGGATCTGCGAAGGAGACGAAGAAAACGGCAGCGTGGGTATGCTTTTTCTGTATTACCTCTTACTCCCTCGGGCCCCCAACAAAAACGTTGCAACGGCTGAAATGAAGGGTTTGCTCTCGCCCCATCGTTGTGCTGTCCTCTACCAATCAATTGCCATGTAAAGCATAGCGTGCAATGCGACAAATCCCGTGGTTTGGCTTTTGCGACTGATTAGCTCTTGTCGCAGGATGATGGCGCTTCCATGTTCTGTGGCATGGGGTGTGTTCAGGTCTTGCCGATGCTGTGGCGCAAAAGGCAAGCTGGCTTCACGGAACGCATTTCCTCATATGCAATAATAGCTATTGGGCTGATGACGTCACCCCGTGTCTTGTGTAAGTTGGACTTGCACCCAGTAGCGAACTCCGCACTTGACATCCGGTCGAGACAGTACTTCACGTCTTCCTGCGTCCGTATGTTGGTCCCTATTTGCAGCTATGGCATGCGTGGGGTGCTGGACATCCGCGTGGAGGCAACAGCGGCTACAGGAGATGGCGGCTACCATTCAGGGGTACATGGCGGTTCAGTAGAGGAGCCAATGCAGGTATGTAACAGTTTTCGGGCTGAAACTACTTGCAAGCTGAGTGTGCTACTGTCTCTTTAGAATTCTAGGCTATTCAGTCAGAACCAGGCTCGATTCCAGCATGAGCATTGAACTCCTAGTCCTCAACTTCCTTCGTGTGCTTATGCAGAGGTTGGTGCACCTGCTGGGTCGGATGTACGATCCTACAACTGGTCGCGTGACAATTCCTGGGTTCTACGATGCCGTTCAGGCGCCTGATTACGCCGAGGTATGCCGCAAGTGCAGAGAATGCAAAGTATTCGCAGTACAGTTCCAATACGTTCCACTGCAGAGGGAAATGGGAAATATATCCTCACTCAGGGATTTTCTGAGGCACGCCAAACCATTTTACTTTGCACTACGCGTTCCTCAGCTCCAGCGCATCAAGGTTGCTGCAGAGTCTGTAGAAACCGGATGGATAAAGGATGCGTTTGCAACTGGAGTTGATAGCCCACAGGAGCTTCTTCGGAAACGGTACAGCCAAACAGCGCGTTGACCTTGATGCCTGCTTGTGCCTTTCTGAGCCAATCGAGTCGTTACATTGCATTGCTACAAATGAACCACTGCAGATTGTCCCTGTCTGGAGGTCTGTGTTCACGAGCTACAGTCGTGCAATATCACAGATGCCTATGCTTCTTGTCGTTTCCTATTCAGCTGGTTGGAACCCTCCATGTCTTTGCTGGGCATCAACGCATCTTTGAAGGGAAACTGCGCACAAGCTGGTGGAGCTATGCGTATTATTCCTTCAACGGCTTCGGCAGAAATCAGCCTGCGCCTTGTGCCAAACCAGGTAATCCCTCCGTTGTATTCGTCCGACGCGTATGATTTGCATGATTTGACAATATCGACCGGCAGAGCCTGCACAGTTGAGTTGGCGCTTTTTTGATCCAATATCTTGCAACCTCAGGGACCAAAAGAGGTATTCAGTCTCATACGAGGCCACCTACAGGAACAATTCAAGCAAACATCTTCTGCGAGCAAACTGGCAGTCCAATGCCTTCGACAAGGACGTTGCTGGCGTGCCGACCTGGAAGCACCGAGAACGCGTGCGCTGTACGGCGCTGCTCATGCAGCTATAAAGGAGGTGCTAAGCACAGTAAAATTTAGAACGCTGAATGGACCTCACCGGCTCACGGCATGCGCTGCGGCGTTGTGTAGCAGCCTCCCAAATAATTGGGGCAGCTGCATTCATAACAACGGATTCAAGAGTCGATTTCACTGTGTCTGCACAGGTCTGGGGTGTTGAACCACTTTATGTTCGTGAGGGGGGCTCAATGCCGGCAATTCCATTTCTCGCTGATGCTCTTCGGAGGCTCCCCAGCCCCAAGGGATGCACACAAAGTTCTGAGGAAATAGCCGTCTGCCAGTTGCCCTTCGGTCAGGCTAGCGACAATGCTCACCTTCCAAATGAACGGCTGGGCATTCGGCAGGTGGAGAAGGTGGGAACGAGTGTACTTCGCTGTAGCTGGGTGCGGTCAGTCTTTAGTGTACAGCTTGTAAGTGTTCCTGTGTCCCATCTGGCATTACCTCATATTGCGCCCCTGTGCTGCAGGGCGTGGATGTGTTAGCGTCGACGCTGGAGTATCTTGCGGCAAGGTTACATCCTGAAGGTTAACTGCTGATAATAGCCCCGAATTGTTTATTTTACCTCCACTAGATCATAAGTCTTGGCTTACCACTTTTTCCCGCAATCTGCCAGAAATAATTTTGTTGAAAGTACAGCCGTCCAGGCCTCTTCCCAGTGTAGTCGTGCTCGCCACCTCTCATACAGGGCACAATTCCACCAGACGGGATAGGCATTGGCAGTTCGCCGGCATGAGCAAATATGGCCGGCATGCGTCGCGTTGTCACTTAAGTGCTAGTCCGCCTTCGAAGGATTCGTCTGGACTCCTTGTGCAATCGTCAAAGGGATTTGTCTTTGGGCAGTCGACTCACCGTCGACGAAAGCTGCTAGGAAGATGTTGTGCATCCTCCGCAGACTCGAAGGCATGAAGCTCTTCCCCATCTTCAGCGCCAAATTGTCGCTATATCCGGTTGTTCATTTAAGTTTTGTTTTTGGTGCTAACTGCTCCACTAGCGCATGATCGCAGCTGTTTCGTGAACCCTCCCAGCTGCATACAAGAAGGTAGGCAAATTCACATGCTACAGTTGTCTCTGAAGCGCACATTTGCTGTAGATTGCGCTTGGTTGGCTTGTGCGTGAACTGCGGCTCCTGCACCCTGTACGGCAGTATGCACTAATCTTGAGCCCAAGCTGTGCTCGCAGTGATACTAAACGATTTCTGATTCACGACACCACTGCTGTTTACAGTCTAGAAGTAGGAACACGCTTATTTTTCCTGGTTTGCGCCTGCTCACAAACTATCGCTGCGGTTGCTCTGAAACCTGTCCGTTGTCGTGAGCTGAGATGATCAAGGCGAACGGCGGTGAGCACGGCGTCAGGGCACTGAGTGTACTCCCTGCGAAGCTTTCTAGTATTGTGGGTTGCCAGCATGGGAATTTTTGGTCAACTTAAAGAGTCTTGTGAATTGCGATGCCGAAACAGCTGCCAGTTATTTGTTTTTCATCATCGCTAATACCTGTCCTACGAGTCCTGCTGTGAGGTCTTAACTCTATGCCACAGGACTCCAGTGCATGTCGCAAACGAGCCATTTAATGGATGTGTTCGGAAGGGCGATTGCGCTGTTTGGAATTTAATCTATGCCTAGCAGCGAAACTGCTACACAGGGTACCACTGCAAGCATTGAATGCTAGGAACAGGTCTGGTTTGTGTGAGCATTTTCGGAAACGATAGCAGCTCAATAATGATGCCATGCGAGTAACCCTCCCACGGAACGAATGCATGTCCGTCGCCTTCGTTTAGTAATACGCTGAGTATTTGTTGCCTTTACCCCTCCAGTGTGTGGGGAATATCAGTTGGCATCATGCACGTTAGTAGACTCTCAAGCAAATTCCAGGTTCGGACGATCAAACAATGGCAGTTCACCACTATGGGAGCACATGCCTTTTCTTGAGGTTTACCGCAACGTAAAGCGAGGCCTTAGCACAGGGACGATGTTTCGATACAGCAAGGTTTCGTTATTCGCAAGGATGCCAGCATGTATCTCTTCTATGCTACAAGTGGATCTCCACAAACATATCAGAAAGTTGGAAGTGACACAAAGATTCCATGTAGTCGAATCTACCCTGGTGTAGTAAAGGCTCGCTGCCCTACCCCGTTCGGAGTGGAGGGTTGCGCAATCAGAAGGCGACGAGCCGTAACTCAAGAGTGCACCTCACAGCAAAACGGAAGGTAAAATGATACGCCCAAAAACGCGTTTCAGCGCTATTAGATGAGTGCCACCTTTTTATCGAGAAAGAAAATAAGCTTCATCACGCTGGCCATCACCCGGGGATGGCAGAATCTCTTGGGGCCATACTGAGCGCTTTCGTTAAAGTTTCTGCCTGCCATCGTTGATACTACTGAAGAAGGCATGTTTGCTCTCTGCAGCCATTCGCCTACAGTCAGCCTTGTGGTGATCTCATGCTCATACGCCTCTGTAACAGTCGCGTTGTATTATGGATTCGCCGAACACATCCAAATCCTGGATGCAGCAGGCACAGCCAGCAGTTTCGCGCCACTCCAAGTCAAATGTCCCACAATCTTACCGACTGAAACTTTACTGGGCACATCAACAGCTATGACTGGCTAGCGCTGTCGGCGTTGGTGGCGGCATCCAAAAGTAATTTTGCATGCATACAGGACCACAGAGATGCATACGTCCCGTGATGAAATAGAGCGCCGCTTGTCATTAGTTCATTTTTTTCGAGCTCCCTAAGCGTGGGTTCCTTTTCCATTTACCGGCAGAGCTTCTCCTGCTTCAAAGGGCATCGTCTCCTTTTCTCTTTCCCTTGTGAGGTGGGGCTGCCAATACCTCCCGCTGCAACAGCTGGCAGGCTGGTAGCTCGTTCTTTGGCTGCCATTCTTCTTGGTGGAACAGCACTCTCAAGGGCAGCAGAAGCATCATCAGGACAACCGGCGCTATCGTCAGCAACAGCAGTTGCATTGCAGCAAGCAGGCTGCCGTTTTCCATGCTGCTGCATTGGCGAGCTGTCCATATGTGGGGTGGCCACGGGAAGAGGCGATGCTGAACAGAGAACCACAACGCGGAGCCGAACTAACACGCTGCAACATAAAATGTGAAGATGCTGAACCTACAGCTACCAATTCAGGAATTCACATGACTGGAAGGGCTGCAGATTGCTCACTTGAATAGGGGCCTCGACGTTTCCGAAGACGCAGTGCTGAAGTACTTTGGCAGTCACTCATATCAAGGTGGACGTCATCCGCTCTACAGGTTTCTTCAGTTCCATTTTGTTGATGTAGCTTCTCACTTTCCTGACACTGTCGGTTTTGTTGTTTGTCTTCCCGTTGCTCCAAACGCTTCTCGTGCAGCTCCTGAGGTGCTTCTATAGCACATGACGCTGCGCAGATTTGCTGGCGCTTGTCCATTCTACGCAAAGATATCCGGGATACTTTCTGTTGCATCAAACCTTGGTGCTGCAGCAATAATTTGTGTTGGAGGAACAACAACTCCATTGCGTCCGATGCTGGGTAGTGCTGCCTCGCGGCAGCGACAGACTGCAGTAGCAGGAGAAGCAACTGACCCTGCTTTCCGATACTGCCGTTTTGGAGGAAAAATTTCCTACCAGTTGATCGCTGCTGCTGCTCCTCTCCAGAACAAAAATGAGACAGGGAACTGAAAAAATAGCTAGCCAGAAGACACCTCATTCTATCAAACACTTTCGGTGGGACATGCTGAGGAGGCCGCTGCAGCTGCACTATCAAAAGCAGCAGCCGATTTGCTTTCTCAACAGCCTTGGCAATTGCCATCCTCTGCTGCACTAAGTTCTGCTGCCTAATTTGATGAATGGCTGCAGTGTCAGCGATCTCGTGCAGCAGGCTCCCTAAGTCTTGATGTCTTGGGGGTGGTGATCGTGACTCTGTAGCAGTCGCCGGCGTTGCTGATTCTTCTGCTTCAGAATCATCGCTCTCATCTGATATCTGAACGGCCAAGAATCTGAAAGCACTAATGGCATTAGCGGGATGACAAGATTATCGGTACAACAACACGGATATGAGGACAACAAATTGTGCACCAGATCTAACATACCTCGTCAATATGTGCATGGTTTTGACTGTGTGGAGAATCCTGCTGCTGTTGCGGTCTCCTCAATATCAACTCTCGCATCTCTCCTGGAAAAAGGGAAAAATAAATAAACGCAAGAGACAGGAATTGGAGGGTGGTAAAGACAACTAGAGTGAGGTAGGAAATGATATAATTAAAACTGGACGTGTGCAGCAAGACTTCTATGGACATAAATAAGCTGCAGAGGCCAATGCCTCGATTGAACAAGACAACGGACACAGCAAATACGAATAACGTGCAGAAGAAGCTAAATTAATCAGATGTTGGCCGGGAACGTCTGGCATATCGAACATTTATACGAAGCAGCGTGGCCCTCCATCGCATTTTGGCATGTTTGATCACAGGTTTCCATGTGTAGGCTATCTACCTTTGAAAATCATAAAGTGTTCCCATCCCGGTGATAAATGTATGCCAAGCTGATAGATGAATTGGCCCTCCGTTAGAAACGCACCTGAGGGGAAACGCAAAAGCAACAGCGAAGAAAAACGACCCTACAGAGTGTGGGGGAACGGAATATAGTTAACTTGTCTGAATACAAAAAGCTGCATCAACGTCTGCACCTTTCCGTGTATCTCTGCCGTCATAAGATTCTGGATTTACGACGATTATTACCGAAATTCGGTGCATGCACGCTAATATTGGTAGATAGCCATAGCAGAACAGCATCTGGCTCTGCTATCTTCCATTCCTGTCTTTGATGGCCTTTCACTTCATGTTGTATTCCCTAGTATATTCATGTGATACGTACTAAAGCTTAACAGGCTTGGGCCTGCTTCGGTATCGCACATGCACTACATATAACCAGGTGCTCTCTTCCTGCATTGCATCCGCACTTTATCCCCCTTCTTCTGTCCTATATTACGGCGCTTTGATAGATCATTCTTCCCTTACTCTTTGTTGCATTCGCAATCTCTTCTGCTGCTCTTTTAACACCCGCTGAAAGGAGGACGTGACGGTAAATAAAGCGGTCGTCAGAGTATCGCGGAGAGTAAAATACAATGCCTGTAAGCATAACCCCCAATCACAACAAAAACAACGCATTCGAACACGCACACGGACACACGCAGATATGCACGGACACACCCACGGGCACGAACACAAACACAAACAAACACAAACAAACACAAGCACACCAACACACAAACACAAACACAAACACACACACACACAGACACAAACACAAACACACAAACACACAAACACAAACAAACAAACAAACAAACAAACACACACACACACACACACACACACACACACACACACACGAGACCCCCAAACACAATGCACAGATTGCAACAGTGGCACTCACAAAGTGACAGCCAAAATAAAGCAATCACTCAGCATGCATATACAAGCAGTTTGTAGGCCAATCATTCTAGAGAGGCACTCAGTCCTACCGATAAAGAGATACACAGGGTACACGCAAGCAAACACAAACACATTGCACGAAAGAATGCATTACGCTGCAGAAAAAGACGCAAGCGGCACAAGGGCTCGCGCAAGCACAGCCACTTGAAGTTACAAAATCCACAGCTCAAGAAGCGCTGTACGTCTTCCCCTCAGGATGTAGATACCAACAAGGTTTCGGGTGGGCACTTACCAGAGGGTGTGTTCTTGACAGGATACCGACTGATATCGGATCTAATGAATTCATCATTCATCTGCTCCAATAAATGTTGGTCAACAGGAACAAAGACGGCAGTGTACCGACTCTCAGCAAGGTTGAGCAGCTCTTCTCGCAGAAATGCAGCACGCGAAGCCTCTGCAGCTACTGCTGCTGCAGTTTTCTCGCCTCCAGAGCATGCAGGAGTTGGCTTGCCATCGCATATTGTTGCTTCCGCTGCTAGTGCCGCTGGAAGAATGGCTTTTCCTGCTGCCGATGCTTCTGCTGCTGATGCTACTGCCATATGCTCAGACAAAATAGTTATCGGAGGCCAAGCGGGCAGCACTGCTGCAGTTTGGGTTGCCTTGTGCCGGACACATTTGCATGCAACAGCAGTGCCTGCCGCTACTGTTACTGCTGAAACCCCTAGAGCAGCCTTATAAAAGATTCCGGAAGTGCGCTGGCCAGCACTAGGATTGCAAAACAAACCGATATTGCCGCCATGCTGCTGCTGTTGCAGCTGTTGCAGTTGCCGATGCACCAGCTGAGACTGAAGGGCACTTAGCACCTCACTGCCACGCACCGGAACTCGAAGGAGTTCATTTACTCCTCGAGCAGTTGATGCTGTTGTTCCTGATTGCACCGAAGCAGCAACGCAACCTGACGCAGGGGATACTTCCTTTGTTCTGGCTTTTGCAAGACAAGGGAAAAAATATCCTCCACCCAGTTCATCCCTGCCAGCGGTGGAGGTCGGCAGGAAGGTCTGGCATCTGCTGCCGCAACAAATATTAGTGGCATTTCTATGCTCTACTGCTACTGGTTCAGATGATGCTGCGTCCAAGACTGATGCTGCTTTTCCTGATGGTCCTGAACATTTCCGGCGTCGTGTCCTTGCATTGCTGTTGCTGGCGGATCGACGGTGAAAGTGTGAAATTTGTCCGTTTTCGTCGCATGCACCGGCTGGTCCTGGTCCTGTTGCTACAGCCGTAAAGCGTAAGTTGTGGCGTGCTCGTCGGGGGCCTCTTCGCCGCTTGGGTGAGACACAGCAGTCGCACAATCGCTGCAATGATGCGAAACGCCGCCCTGATCTGCGGGCGTTTTTATCGGGAATCGGAGATTCTGACGGACTTAGATGCAGCGAATTCGGAGGGCTTTCCGTGTTAGGATGCTGCGAAAGGCGGCATGGGGGAAGGGAAGGTGAAACTGGGGGAACTGGAGGCTCCTCTTGCTGCCTCTTCCGGGCCAAAGAAGGGCTCATTGCGCCAGCTGCTGCTGCTGCAGCAGCAGCTGGCGAAAGTAATTCCTTAGGATACAGATATGGGGCAACTATATGGGGGCAAGGCGTGATCACAGGAAAGATGTTGTAGGGACCCTTACAGGAACAATACAAATGCAGGAAAGCCCTAAGGAATGTAGAGCCAAGGGCTAAGCCCGTCCAGTCCTTTTGTTGTGCCACAGATCCAAGAGAAAGGAACGAACTATTGAACTATATTTATTTCGCTCTCTAGCTGTTGAACAGACACAAAACCGACCGTGGGCGAGCGCGAGACACGCATGCAGCGTCAGCATGTGTGGACCATTCGATGCAAGAGAATGCCAGAAATATTCAGGATATTCAACTAATCGGGCCTACTCTAACGAAACAACACAAAGAAAGGAATAAAATAAACAGGTACGTGCCAGTTTAGGCGAGACTCCGAGGGTCCGGCCAGTCCAGCACTACCCAGTCTAGGAGCCCCTGGCGTAAATGACGGGAAAAGGAGCAACGAAGAGAAAGAAACAGTTTAAAAATGGAAAACTCAAGGTGATTATTCGGCAAGACACCCAATCTGGCGGAAAGGTCACTCTCTTAGCGGTCTAGTTGATGGCTGCGCCTTCAGCAGGTAGATCCAGCCAGGGGTGGTGGCTGGTCGTCCTGGGGACACTCCAAGCCAGCGGGAGATGAACTTTAATACCTGCAGGCTCATTCCCTATATAGTAGTAAAACCGGGTAAAATACATTACTCATCGTTACACTGCTGTCGCGACACCCCTACGACGCGTTTTCTGTCTTGTAGCCCGTGGCCTGCGCTGGACATGTCTTGCCATTCAAGACACCCATCTGCTAAGCTTGCCTTCAATCTACATGCAGCCGGAGGAGTTGTGTTCTCTGCTATTTTGGTGTTTAATACAGCAATCCAGAGTGAACCAACAATATGGGGGTATTTAACCCTCCACTTCCTGCTCGCCAGACGCGAATACGATTCCACCGCGTATCGCATGTCCTCTCTTAAACTGGTACTTGAACTTGAGCATGTACTTGAACAGAGGCACCCCAGTGATAACAAAAGGATCCTTCTTATATCGTGTACTGGGTCGGTGCATGTAAAAATAACTGGATTTGACGTATAAGCGAACGTAAGGTTATCGTGCAGGATGATGTGCTTTGCGTCTTCCACGTAAATCAGTTGGGCAACCCAGCATAGCAATTCACAATAATCTGTGCAGCCAATGCGGAAGTTACGTGCATCACAGATGTAGCGGGTTTATCAGGCTTAAATGCTGCGGCAAAACTCGGCAAGCTGGCTTCTCAGTCTGGGATACTTCCAGAAAGCCACGAATTTACAAATTGGGGGACCGTCGCTTTTCTAGACGTCCCTGTAAATATGCACCTCCCTAAGAAGGCAATTTATATAGGCTCCTAGGAAAATACTTGAGAACGAATGTTGATTAGGGGAACCCGATAGATCACCCGGAAGATCACACCCGCCTTGCATAGCCAATCACGAGGCGCACATTCCAGCATATTCCATCGGGATATCCATGTACAAGGCTCCACATATGCATATTAAAAACTTGCCTTGAGGGAGACCGTGGGAGTTCACAAGCATTGAAATGGCTCACCTACTGCGTTCTTGCACCTCGGTCCTTCTACTGTGTACAGTCCAGCGCAATCCTTAAGGCGTACTACATTGCCGCACTATATGCATCATATTCAACGTCCAATTGAACCACGTTCTGGCGCCAAGCGGAAAAGTGACTTCAGCAACTGTATTCGCTGCAGCTGCAGATGAACAATCTGCCATTATACTTTACCTTTAAGACATCGTAGCCCAACTAGGGTTTCGCCCGAATGCTGGACACATTGATGCTTAATCTCCTGAATATGAGAAAATGTGAAGAACCTTAAGTATCTGCGTTCCTATATCTACGCATGATATGCAAAAACACAGCACTAAAGTTGGGGAGCATCCAATGCTGTCCACCGCGGCGCCCACATTCCACAGGCTCCCTCCAGTGCAAGCTGATGTTTGTGCTACAAAAAATTCCGTGCGATAATCTTTAAAAATCCGTCAAAACAACAGATTACTGTCTGTTGAAGTGTGGTAGTTGATGGTACATCAATCAATCAACCACAAAAAATATCTGTCGCCGTTGAAGTCTTCAGCCTAAGCTGCTGCTTCTGCTGCCAGTATCAGATGGCTCCCTGATTGATTCAGTTCCAGCTGTTCCAACTCTAAGACGCCTAAAAATAGAAAGCAAGGAACTCCAGCTATCCGAATGCTGCCGATGCAGTAAAAGATGACTGCATCGATCAACAGCTTTGCGTAACTGTCTGTCTGCTTCTTCCAAGTTCTTTATAGTCCGAGCTGGTGAGGTGCTCATGAAAACGAATCTAAGCTGTAGAATAAATGCGGAAGCTTCTCGTTGGAGTGCTCTGCACTTCTGCTGGCGTTTTCCAAGACGCTGAAGGGTGCGAAAATTGCCAAACCCTGAGGGGGGAGCCGAGTCAAGTTGCTCCATCCTTCTTGTAAGGGATGCCGTCGCTTTTTGCATTCGTTGCAAAAGCTCCATACTCATTTTCTTTATCTCCAGCTCCTCCGTATAACTAGCCACAGCATGTTCTCTTCCACTGCCATCCACTATGAGAATTGCCGCACTTAACGCTGCTGCCCCTCTGGATGAGAGGTACGCTCCGGCTGCACGACGCCGAGCAACTAAACGCAAAGAAAGGGCCATGTGCTGTTGCAGAGGAATCATGGATTTTAGTTCACGTCGAGTTCGCCACAACTGACACTCTAGGAGGCGAGCTTCTTCCTGCAACTGAAGAAGGCGTCCCTGAAGACGGTGCCTTTCGGAAGAAGTGGATCTCTGCAACCACAGTTGGCCCTGCAGAAGGCTCTGCCTCGCCGAGTTTGCATGCAGCGAATTTAAAAGATGACTCCTTTTATTCAGCATGCGAGTCAAATGTCGCTTCGCCGTGTGCAGGAGGTCCAAGTCTTGTTCGGTCATATCCACGCAAACATCTCCAGAAGGTTGAAGGAGCCGGAGTTGGCGTGCATGCTCCGCTCTGTCTAATGGGACATCCAACAGTACCTTGCTCGACGGGACGGACTTCTTAGTGGGGGAATTTTTTTCTTGTTGCCTTTCGTTTGTAGAGATTTGATCCGAAATGCCTCCTTCACGCGTTTCCAAAGGGCCCTGGCGTGCGGCAAAATCGAATGGAATCTTCTTCGAAACCCCCAAACGTCCAAGAATTCTCTGAAACGCGGTATGTGGTGAAACTGGGAGCGACCCATGAACTATGCTCTCCTGCGCATATTGCGACTCATCTAGTGTCGGCGCAGGAAGACCTGATGTCCCAGTTCCGCCTACTGCGCCAATCAGAGGGCCGCCCTCGAAGCCACTTGAAGCTCCACTTGAAATGCCCTCAGAAGAAACCCTTAAAGAACCGCCTGAAGCTGTACTTAAATCATCACTTCCAGTGCCTTGGGGAACCGCACGTTCCAACACCGTTCCAGACTCTACGCATCTTCTAAAACGACCTGTCTCCGCCAGCGAAAGCACGCGTTCTCTTAAGCGACCCCCTAGCTGTCCGTGAGAATCCAGTAACAGTACACAATGGTGACCCCGCAGTAAAAGGAATATGGCTGCGGAGAGGCACAGGATGCTCACCATGTGCAAGACTCGATGGCCCTGCTCACGTCTGGGAGGAAGCGCTACATAAAGCGGATGGTCATTGCTGATGTATTCTTCAGAGACAGGGTACATACCTGAGGCCTCCCGTACGATTCCAGAATTAGCAACTGTGTCGACCTCCCCAACCATTTCCCCGAAAAGATGTAAATTAGGTCAGGACCACCAAGGAAAGACAACAGATGTTACTGCTAAAGCATTTTGAGTGGGAATATGGGGTTTCTTGACGTAATTTATCTCCAACTGCGCCAATTCGTGCCCCTATGACGAGACAAGACAATTCGGGCGAACGCACGTTCGTAATGGGTAAGCAGCCAATAATACTCTGGATAAGCCTTCTACTTGAAGGGGATGATAATAAGCAAAGCATATACAATGTTCCGATGCATGTGAAAAGACACGCGCAGACGGGCTGTTGAGGACCAATCATACGAAAACAGTAGCGTGCTGCTTGTGAGAACCCGAGGCCGGGGAGTCATCGCTCCAACATCTGCCGTGTTTTATCTACGAATCTGAGGGAATTAAAGTTTTTGCTTTCCTCAGCAAGTGCTTATGTGCATTTAACTAGTGTTCAGATATAACATTGGTAAGTATCAAGCCTTGTCCCTCTGCTGCGTTCGACTGGCTTCTGGATCGATACGTGAGATCATCAACTTGTTTCTGTCAATTTGCCGGTGTCCCTACTTCTTAGTTCCCTCCATTGCTTTTTAAACCATGCACTGAACATTTAGAATATGGCTTAAGGCAAGTGCAACTGGGATTATCGTCGAAGAATTTGTCAGAGTTCATTGCCAGCCCCCGTGCCGCCTGTTCTACTTCCCTCTTCTGATGTTCAGAGTGAATGCAATAAATTCATTTTAAGTACAATACACGAATAGTTTAAATGGGTCACGCAGTTTGCAGTCAGTGTTGATATGGTAGTACATCTTAAGCTCATTCACTAACCAGTGGTATGGAAGTAGCTTATTGGTCCAGTGGTTACACGGTGAGGGATGGCGGAATACGCTCTCGTCGCACATGAGGCAGATTATTTATCAAACTGGGGAATATGTTCAAGTGTTGGGGAAGAATTCCACAGGATTTCGACATAATTAATGGTGCAAGTCACCGTGGTCTCACAGCTGAGAATTACCTCACACATGAAGAGAGCTGGAGCAATGTGGCCAGCATTTGTTGTAATCTATCTTTGTCGTCGTGCTACAGACGTATTGGCTTCTGCGCATATAACACTGGCCTACATAGGAATGACCCTAAATATTTTGTAGAACTGTTTCCAGGTACCAAGAGCTGTCGAGCCAAACGCATTTACACGCTGAATCTGTGGGCAATCAAGTATTAGTGGTAACATCCAATGCGGATCGCGTATTTTTGCATGAGGAGCTGCCCCGTTGTTGCAACAGAAGGCGGTGGTACAGGGGCTTTCTGTCCCGCAGGCGCCGTGCCGCAGTGCTGCCCTGACGTATGAATGAAGCTACGTTGTACAGCGTGTGCCGGAAAAGTCCCCATAGTGCGAATGTGCTCCGAGAAGTCATTAACGGTTCTTACATTCACCCACTGTTGTCGTGCTTCCTCTGCGAATTACGGAAGTGTTTGTAGGGAGTGCAACTCTTTTGCTTGTTCACGCATAAGTAAAACCCCTGATTTGCATGAAATTCATGCACTGCCCCAGCTTCGAGTTGAAATTCATTTTTAGGTTGTCTGTAGAGACAGGGGCATTCTTCACGACAGGTGTGCTGTAAAAATATTTTGTTCTCCATGGATCGCAGAAATTACGATTTATTCAATTCGACGGGTCTCCCAGCCGCTGGTCGCTTCCCCACCAAAAGTCAAATTTTGATCGTCCTCTTTTAACAGCTTTCTCTAGTACTCGCGGCTATGCAACATACTGCATTGCTGTGGAGGTGATATTTGTTTGTCGCACCAGCTTCCCGTGAACCTTGCGGTGTTACACCGCCCACTGCAGTTTCTGCATATTAGCAGACAACTAGTGTGAGCTACAGTGGAGACTAGATACTTTCGATATGAACAAATTAAAAATAGCAGGCCTCCCTCGCCTTTCTCCAGGTGTCGTGGGCTCGGCAGTTCAACCGCCTGGGGCTAGGGGAGGCGGCAGCCTGCCAAGCCGCCGCCGTGAAACGCAACCTCCTGCAACTCATTGTGCCCAAGAGCCCCCCCATAAAAAAACAAAGAATCTGTATTGGCTGTATGCATGAACGCTATAGTAACCATTGTTAAGAGCTCCTGCTTGTGAACTGCTCTTCCCCTATGTCCGGCTAGCGGTTCACGTGCCAACTGCAAAAAGGCTTGCTAGCCTCTTGCAGGCTATGTTCCACAGCCATTTTTAGCTCTACACATGAATAGCTAAGACTATTTTGAAGTTCGCCGTCGGCGCTGGCTGCCTACTAACACCGGGTGATGGTCCACGCGTCAATTTGAGGGACACCTCCCAACATTGGGGAGAGAATGCTGCAGCGACATGTAGTATAACCGCCGCACCCATTTGTTTACCTTAAACGCCAAGGAATGGTGCCTTATGAGACCACTATTCGAATGACACATGCTAGTGTAAGGGCATATGTCTTGTCAAAAGGTAACGGATGCCACACAGTCGTTGCCCGTTGTGCTCGGCTTCCCGTTCAAATCAGCGGTGCGACACAGACCACGAGTGAAAAATACAAGGAAGTGATACTTGCTGCACCTTTTAAGGTACTCTGTAACAATGTTTAAATTATAAGAACGGAAATCCTCGGCCTAAAAAACGCTGAAGCGCTCTGCACGACGGCGATGCATCAGCGTGCATCGTTGCGCAGTTGGGGACCCCTCGCGTGCAGCACAACAAAAGGCATCCCAATTCCCTGTAATTTTTTCCTTTGCAGTAGGTATGAGGATGGAATAACATTTTCCTTTTCATATTTCCCTTCCTGTACTCTCGTGGTTTCATCCCCGCACGTCACCGGCGGTGGAAAGTTTTCGCGATTCTCTCAGTACACAACGTGCTTGTTTCTTCCGGCGCAAAGCATCATGAATATGAATGTATTACGCATGCTTTCCTTTGGCAACAGGATACGGATATTTTTCGGAACTACTGCATCTCTGCTCTTATCAACACACCTCTTTGCACTCCTCACAACGGGACTTCGTGAGGAATGAACGCAGAATTCGTCAGCCAAAGCGACTCGCTGCATATTGGCGATGATTCAGGTGAAGATGGAATTATTGAGAATGGTCTATTTTATTCGATATTCAGGAATTCAAATATACTGTCTGGGGACTCCGGGAACTCTAGCTTTGCATACAAAGCCGCCTTCTTATCTCTTATAGTGGCAATTTTCTCAGTCACGCATATATTCTGGTGCCTGCGAGAGCTTTCTTCCCCTCAAACTGGAGCAGGCGGCTCATATAAACGAATGTTGGCTCTGGCAGAAGTCGGTTCACTCAAAAAGTGCATCGACGGCGACAGTACGCGGGTCGCCGGCGCGCCACCCATATCGCCGCTACATACAGGATCAACTCGAAGCGAAGAATCCAGTGGCCGTAATACATTTGCAGTTGATGGAACTAACATTAATGAGGGCTACAGGCAAGATCACCAGCCGTTGCATACGGTGCAAGCATGGTGGCAGCGTTCTCGCCGCCCGGAGAAGCCCACTCTTTTTCTTGTTATTGATGCACTAGAGAATGTTCCGGATGATACGGAGTACATGCGTCTCCAGCAGTCCCTAATTTTGCCCTCATCCGGGACAAAAAACCTGACGGTGGAAGAGAAGAATCTCATAAAGGAAGCAAATGACAAGCTGGCGTATATGCTGAAAGAAAGATCTCGCCTTGCCAATTCCTTGCGCAGAAAATTGGAAAAACGGGAGCGTTTGATAGCCTATGAGTTAGACTTGACCAACCGGAAGGTAAGGCCTGTCGGAGTGCTCGGCAGGTTGCGGAAACTTATCATACCGGCACTGCTTTATGCAGTAAGAAGAAGAGTGGAGACACTTACCACCGAGATTCGTAAGGTTGAGGAAAATCTAAAGATTTACCGGAGTGCATTAAAAGGGATGCTTTCCCGGAGGCAGCAGATGGCTCTCTCTCTCCGCTTACTTGCCCGTAGTCGGCAAAATACAGGAGCCATGACAATCAAAGAAGCCAATGCGTTGAGCGCAGCCAAGCTGATAATGCATGGCCATAGAAGAAGGAATTATGTGCCTACTTTTAGCGAGGGACTGGAGATTCTGAAGATGGGTTCTGAGCTGTCCGAGGCATTGCATGATGCAGAGCTACTTCTTTCAAAGCTCCTGAGGCGAGTGGCCTCTAACAGTGGATCTGGAGATTGCCCTAGTTGCAAAATCTTGAAGACGCACATGATGAAGTGCACTGACCTTCAGCGAGAGGCGGAGTTGTATGCTCTGCAGCTGAGGTCAGTTTTGAAGACGTTTCCTCCAGACAAGTGTAGGGAAGTTGCCAAGAATGTGGAAGGAGGTTCTCTTCAGTTACGAAGGAAAATGGAGATGGCACTCCAGTTAATTCACGACTAACCATGCTAGGACGAATCCAATACCTCCCTCTTCCGTACCATACAATGCGCTTTAGACGAACATTTACATTCATGCCAGAAGAATGGATACGTGTTGGCTCTAGCTGTTCCGCAGAGTCCTCTTTGTATAGAATTGATGGAGATTAAACTGTTCAGGCTCATTTTTGTTCCCGTGGCCCAATTCCAGACAGTGCTGTTTGTTAACGGGTAAGGGCATCACCACTCGAATGCGGCATAAACTCGTGGGAATCCCACTTTGTGCTGTATTCCAAGTCACAAAAAGTGAAAATATTTGGCATTCGCCGATGGGCATTAGATCTATTCGGCTTCACACTATGCCATATTTTGCACCGCATTATGGTTTTTTGCGTAAAGTTCTGCACAACGTCTGATCCGCCGAAGTCGCTGTTGAATTTCCTTTCCCATTCATTCCTGTGTAACGCACTACAAACGTTTTGTTCGCTTTGCTTGCTGGATTCTGTATTGCCGCCTGCTGTAGTGTGTTCGTTTTTCGTGATGCATGATATCACACTGTTCGCTGCTCTGCAGTGCACTCTACATTGCTTCTTGCCGTCATTTGTATTGCATCGTCGAAGTACATGCCGTCCCTAGGACTCTTTCCAACATGCTCCCGCCGGCTTCACCGGAGTTTCTTCCGTATTGCGCATATTCCATACATCACCATCCTTCGTTTTGGGCTTAATCTTCCGGCGCGCTTCGTGTACAGCACCGTACTTATTTGCACTGTAGTTCTGTTTGCGGTGGGGTTGTGCACTTCATAGTATTGTACATAAGACTGCCCTCTTGCTGGGTGCTGCGCGAGTTGCATACCGGGGGAACCGTGTCGGGGTTGCTTCCTGACTAGTGTACATGCCTACCAAGGATGAGACTCCAACGGACTTCACAGATAGGCAAAAAACAGTAACAATATTATGCACCATGGATGCTAAGAAAGCAACGTTGGACACGACTAGCCACCTGTGCCAGTGGCTAAGTGTTGCTGGCAATGGCTAGCACGAGGCGGCAGCAAGCTGCCTGAGCCTGTCAGCTAGGAAGCCGGCTGCCTGTTTAATGGCTTCGTCAGTGATTTTCTGGAGCTGCCGCTCCTCATTCTTTCTGGTGTCTTCACTTGTGCGGCTAGCTTTAAAAAGGGAACGATGTTTGGCCCTCGCATCTTGACGAATCCGCCGGATCTGGACCTTACACTGAATGAGCAAACACGACAGAAACGACGCCGTATGCCAAGATCGAAAAATTATCGAAAGAGACAGCTATCAAATCGAAAATGAGCAGCAGCAACAGCGACAATACGCAGCTGCGTGGTATGGTTAAACAACCGATAGGCAGGAGAGATGATAAAGCACTTCCACAGTATTGGCATCTCATCTCATGCGAGTGCAAACCAGATTCAGCACCGAGGCAAAAACGAGACCAACTTCCTCTGTTACAGCTTTGGCTTGAGCAATGAATGACGCCCGCAGCTCTTCGGTCATCTAAGAAAAAAAACAAGACAGGACCGGTCATTCAAAAGAGGTGCACGTGGTGGATGTTAGCCTTCAACCCAGAGCTTAGGGTAGTGAAGTTGGCTATCACTCAAAACTCTCGCTTGCACTAGTTTACCTTTGGAAGCTGCACTCGGACAGTTACTGGTCCCTCCTCAACAATCCTCCAATTATCATTCGCCGTTCTCAATGCTGAAATTACCTGAGCAAACGCAAAAGACTCCTTCACTTCCCACACGCTTCACAGCAAGAAAGGCAGCTGCCTTGCTTGAACTCACGGTAGAAGCGCAAGCCGCATAAAATGTGGCAAGCTAAATAACATTGACATCGACAACAGCTGCACGGAACGGCACCTTAGAAAGATGCTGTTCCGAAAACAGGGTCAGTATGACGACTGAATTCCCTTTTAGTTGCACTTGCGCCAAGTCACTCAGCCGCTTATTGCTGCCTGCGAACATTAAAGAAGCGCCTCTACATATGCAGCCAATGCACAGAGTTCACCGTTGCCTTGCAACCCCGTCTAGGGAGGGGAGGGACAGCCCATTCGGCAACGCATGCCTTATTCTTGCAAATCGAGCGGACTATTCTGCATCCACGTTATGCAAGAGATGCACTACTTTTGCCGTCCCTCTACTGTCCCGTCCTAGATACAAAGCCAAAGGAAGGACAAAATTACACCGAGCTCCCTGCTTCACCAGTGCAGGGCATCGGTAATGTTTCTCTTCAATGTGGTACAGTTCACATTTATACGCTAATTCACAGATTCATATGTGATGACAAAAGGAGTTCGCAAAAGAAGGCATTGGGGTGGCGGCTGCACGATCACCTGCCACATGCACTTGAATTTCCTCAAATGCGCTTATTTTCGGCCTAGACACATCCAAATCTTTCAAGCGTGATGAGAGATTACGTAGATGAAAATTCATCTGCTCTTCCGCTGCCGCTACTGCAGCCTCTGCCTCTGCCTCAGCTTCATTTGAATCAAAGCACAATCTGCGTTTTTCTCCCCCTTGGCCCCGTTTGGGTTGGTGCTGCGCTTCCTGAGGATGCCACTCCCTAGTGTTTGGAATCGGGTGTGCATCTCCTTCTGTGGCGTAGTTCAGCCTTTTCAGTATTCGGCGCATCCTTTTTTCCTTTGCGCTCTCCACACACTTTTGCTTGCCTCCAGTGAAGGAACGATACGCCTCTGCCGGTGGCAAGCGTCTCCTCCACGAGGGCAGACTCCATTGCAGACCACAACAAGCGCCGAACTTAGTTCGTTCTCCGGCATAACTCACATATGGCCATGATAGCCAACATCTAGGTGGTGTGTGGATCCCTGTGATTCTCTGTCCAAAAACGGCGGGACTTGCAATTAGTGGCCTGCTGGAGGGGCACCACCTCCTAACACTATGGAGCGAAAACATTTGAGGGCTCCACTGGATAGGTAGTTAATAAATTTAATTAGAAACATACAGAAGGGTGAGCTCTAGTGCTCCTGAGGCTAATGAAGCTGCTAGGTGGTTCCTGACACTGCTGGTGCCGGTAGTGCTGTGCGGCTGCAGCTCCCACTGCAGGCGTAGCAGCCCCCTCAACAGCTGCTGCTGTTGAAGCCACTCGATTTGTTTTTCCTTGACCCATTAATCGTGACGCTCGTGCGACTTTCCTTCCACTGCAGCCGTTGCCTCCATGCAGCAACTGACGTTTCCTGGAATGCTGTTGACGGTCAGAAGAACAAAAGCTTGATATAGGAATGGCCAATGACTGGGGTACCGACCATCTTTGTGAGGGTTTGTGGCATTTTACAGCAGTGGACAAGCTACGAACTACAGGCTGGGAGCATCGCAAAACATCGTGTTGTACCTGAGAAGCTGGCCCCCAATGGAAATCGGTAGCAGAGATGTTGATGACGCTGCACCCCCGTACTATACGAATTAACACACACGCGCAGAGAATAGGGAGTTACACAGCGAATATTGTGAAGGGCCGATGCGGTAAGTTGGGGCTGACTTGGCCTGCATGCTGGGCCCCCCTGTACAGTCGTATCTTCCATCAACGATGACCCTTTTTGATATCTGGGGCGGTTTAAAACTTCAATTGATGTTTTTTCCTGTTTTGGCTGTTTTTCTGCGGCACCATATCTTCGATGGGTATTTTCGGCTGCGAGTCTCTGGATGGTCTCGCGAGGCCACCGCACATGAGTTAGTAGCGCCTCCAGGTCTCTTTCCTACAGAATTTCTCCCCTTCGATGTCTCCCAGATTATTTTCTTTGGGGATGTAATGTCGTGAGCGGGAGCACTCCGTTTGCATTTAGTTGCTCTGTCCCCCGTTTTCCAACCTTGAATTTGCACGGTGCCTTCGACACAGCGGTCATATATCTAACGGGAAATGGAACACAGTTTCTCTAGGAGGTCATCTGTGGGTAAAGAAGTTGGTTGGGACGACATTTTCAGGAATGTAAATTGGCAACGACGCTCCCCCTCCCTCTGCTCCCTTCTGAACGGTCTCGAGAATCCGCGAAACTTGCATCCCTTATATTCATCTTTCCTGCTGCTTATGGAAAGCTTTTTGTGCTGCCGTGTTCCCTGCTATATTGAAACCTCATGATTCCTGCGTTTTGCCTCAGGTCCTCAGCAAAAGAGCAGACAGTGATGATGAACTCCAGGAGGCTTTAGGGCCTTCAGTGGCCCCTACAGCACCAAGGCACTTGATTTCCTCAGGCGTTTCTTATGTTAAGCTCCAGCCAAGTAAAGACTTGGCTATCCTCGCCTCCACTTCTGATGAAACCATTCAAGCAGTAAAGGTGAGCAGAAACATGGGAGAAAGCGGCCCTCGCTTGTGCAGATTCGTGACGAATGCATTCAAGCATGAATTGCCTGAAATTCATTCGATGCTGCATCTGGACTTTGTCCTACTCGACTTGGATGCGCATATGCGTCTGCGTATTCCTAATGCCATGAAGTGCGTGTGCTCCTGCTCGCCAGCTTTCCTTTTTTGTTGTCAGGTGTGCTGTTTGTGTAGATGGGTGCAGCCATTGAGATAAACATTTAGGCGAGTTTACACTTTTGCTCCTATGTGACCTTCAGACGCTTGCAAATGCCTTAGGACACCGCTGGCGGTTTATTGGACGCTATCGAACTCCTCGCTTCTCCCCTGCCGTCCGTTTGGTTGACAGATCCGTTCCTCCTTGCAATCTCGAGAGTCGCGTCACAACGCAAGACGTTGACACAGATGTTTGCAGCTGGTTAGATGGATCTCAGAAGGTATATGAGGGGTTGAGCAAAGAGCCGCTCTTTGACCCCTTCAGCGTCACTCCCCCAAATGCGTGTTCGGCGAAGTTCGAGTTCATTGACGGTGTAATGCATGTAAGTGTCCGACACCGATATTGATGGGGTGAGATATGCAGACCACTTATGTGAACATTGTCGGTTAATTGTGGTCTAGTACGTTTTCCGATGGCAGAGGCGACTGCATGTGAGCGCTGAAGGCTCATTAAGCAATGCCTGGGAGACACCTTGCCTTGGATTTATGAAGTCTTGCTTTTTATGAACTGATGTATTGCGCTGTGTGTCGTGTGTCGACTGGCCATCCAAAAACTGTCAGATTCAGTGAATTTAGATGTTATTGCAGGCAGAGACGAAATTGATAGAGGGCGCATAAACACCTGCATTTGCGCAAGATACACATGTGAGCAATGCATTCAATTGCCGCGCGTGCTGTGCTGCCGAGGTCAAGCTAAATCTGCCGTCTGGTTTCTGTCCTCATCTGCACACTAGGTATTTTGGGATCCTGAAAGAGAAGATGCGGAGCCACCCTTGCTGTGGAGTCCAAATTTAATCCCAAGTGTTAGAGAATACCTCGCTGCTTTGCAGGACGTGATGATTGCAGTTCAGGATCCAGGTAATTACTGCCACCCTCTTCCACGCACGAGCCAGCCAAGTAATAGAGCACTAACATAGTGCACAGTACATAAATCGTCCCGCAATTTTCACAGGGATGCAGTGTAAAGCTATTATACCTTCGTATGAGTGTTTACGATGGGTCGTGTGCACTTACATATGCTTAAGACTTACGAGTTTCCACGGGGAAGTAATGAACAGTTGTACGTTTGGCAGTCAATTTCGTTTCATGCCCACATTCTGCAAAGGTTCATTTGCATCTGCTGTCGCGCTTTCCCTCAGTTTCTTGTATTTGACATGTTGCCTTCGTCATCGGCCGATGCTTCCGCTGCGTAGATCTTGTTTTCAGTAGTCGCTGGTGCTACGGAATCCCGATTTCGCTGCATCGTACTACGATACACGCATGCGTTTATTCTCAGGGGACTCCAATTGTGTGTGTGTGTGTGTGTGTGTGTGTGCGTGTGTGTGTGTGTGTGTGTGTGTGTGTGTGTTTGCAGCCTGCAAGACTTTTTGCTACAGGCGGATCAAATTTTTGGAGGGCAAATTTAATTTCCATCTGATGTTTAACTCCAGTAAGATGTTGCAGGTGCAAATGCTGATTGTATTGATTCCACTTGCGCGAAGCCGATAATCTTTATTTGCTTGACCCCAAAACAGCTGTCGCTGCTCATGAGGTTATTAACGAGACCATCGTAGTACCCTCACTTCTTGACTCTCGCACCTTTCCCCACTTTTTCCGCATTAGTGTATGGCATCAATTGCCATGTTCCGTTGCTGCCGTACATGTGCGACAGACGAGGAGATGGAAGAAACCAAACACAACAAGCATAGAGACTTCTACAATGTCAGGAAGGTTGATACGCATGTCCATCATTCGGCCTGCATGCATCAGAAACATTTACTGCGCTTTATCAGGTACACGTACACTGCGGGCAAGCAGGCATCGCCACCATACACTAATGCTGTTCGAAAACTGTAACATGCATTCTCGCATAGGCACGAGCGCATCAGCGGTTCTTCATGCTCACAGGCCTATTCCTATTCTCGAACAGCATATGCCAGAGATTCAAGCGATCATACGCCCAAGGCGTCGTACCTACACGGACGTCAGACTGTGCAAACTACGTCTTAAATAAGTTCTCCATTTGCCGCACGGTTGTTGAGTGTTCGATCGTGCATGCTGTTAAGGACTTTCTGTATGAATCATGGTACTCAGGAAAAAATACAGGACGGAGGGAGATACAGTTGTAGCCATGGAAGGTGGTCAGGGTATCACATTGAAGGGCTTGTTCCAAAAAGAACTGGGATTTAGCGCAAGTGAAGCCTCAGTGGACCACTTAAATGTCCATGCCCTCGGTGAGATAATGTAGGGAGTAAAATGCGAAATATGCTACATAGCGATGATCTGGGTCAAGCGCAGCTGCCGGAATTGAAACGCGTTTGCGCAGGTACATGCTTTCAACGTTTTGATCTGTTCAATCAAAAATATAATCCTTTTGGGCAAGCATGCTTACGGGATGTATTTCTCAAGACCGACAACCACATACAAGGTAATATGCTTTTTGAGGCTCTGTAGGATTGCTTGTTCCCCCGAACCCCCCGATAGCACCTACCCCATTTCGGTATCTTCGTCTTCCTGTCATTCTGCTGCAGGCCGTTTCCTCGCAGAATTGACAAAGGAAGTTATCGAGGACTTGGATGACCGAAAGTAGGTGCTCCCTTGTCGCTTTGACTTGCTTTAGCTTATTTCTAGTCTCACAAGATTCTTGGGCGAGCTTTGGATTTCCACTAGCTGCACAACAGCAACATTTTCGTTGTCGCCATGGGTGCACAACATACACACATACGAGTAATCCTCTGATTTTGCGTGTTGGCCACTAGATATCAACATGCAGAATGGCGCGTGTCTATTTATGGGAGATCATACGAGGAGTGGGAGCGACTGGCTTCCTGGGTGGTCGACAATAAACTTCATTCTCGCCGCGTTCGCTGGATCATTCAGGTTCCCAGGTACACAAAACAGTCGTTTATGGACCTGCGGGCTTTTCTCGGGGTGTGGCATTTCGTTGGGACTTGGCAGGCAGCATTTTTACATTAGTACCCTCTACTGTAGGTGGAATTTCGGAAACTGTTTAAATGCGTTTTGGCCGTGCCACGCCTGAAGGCTTATTGCTTCAGTCAAATCTCCCGCCCTCATTTCTGCTGTCGTTTTTGCTCGCTCTCTGTCTGTCTGTCTCTCTCTCTCTCTCTCTCTCTCTCGAAAATTTCGTATCAGTGCTTCTCTTTCGCTGTGAGCGTCGTTTGTGCTTACGCCTGTTTTTAGGCTTTTGCAATTTCTCGTCTCCATATATGCCCCTACCTTTCTCCTTTCTATTCCCTTTAGTTCCTATTGTTCTTCTTCGATGCCACTGTCTGCCTTCAATTTTCGTGTGCCTTCTGCTCCGTCCAACTTTTCGCAGACTCTACCACGTCTACCGAAAGCGAGGGGAGATAAGTAACTTTGGCGCATTACTTAGGAATGTCTTTGAGCCACTGTTTGAAGCTGTAAAGAACCCCGCTGAGCATCGGAAGATATTCCTCTTCCTACAAACCGTAGGGCGGCTTCTAACTCGTCAACCGTTTGCTACTTTTGCTTGCTTGTCTGGAGTCCCGCCTGCTGATGCCACATGTATGTCACCGTGCGGATTGTTTACTTGAAGACGCCTGTGGGGTGTGTGCCATGCTTTTGTCCACCTCTAGATCTGTGGATAGTTGTCCCGTTGCGTGCAAACCATGCTGTGTGTACTACTGCACCTGCAATGGCAGGAGCTTTCGTGCTAGATTATGTACACTGCCTCAAAGGAGTCTTCTATCTGAATCGTTATATCTGGCCACCTTGTGCGGAAGTCATTGGTTTGCTTATTTGTGTACTTGTGTACCCGTTCTTGAAGATGGTAGGATTTGACTCCGTTGACGACGAATCGAGAGTCTCTAAGTACACCATGGAGGGTGGCGAACTACCCGCACCCTCCGACTGGACAAGCACTAACAACCCACCGTATTCCTACTGGATATTTTACATGTATGCGAATATCCGTGCGCTAAACTTGTTTCTCGAGGCCAGAAATATGAGGCCTCTTAGCTTCAGGTCAGTTCCGCCATTCTTTACCTACGCACACCCACTGTGTTTTTCGATGGAAACCCTTGCCCGTGCGAATGCTGCCTGCTCGACTAAACATAAACGCCAACGAAGTAGGTTTGGAAGTTATTCCAAAACTATTTATGCAATGTGTGTGGCGCACATAGAGGTGCAGACAAGCTGCATGTTAATTGATATTGCGAAGGCAACTAAAGAATCGAAATCTACATGAAGTCCGACCCAACTCAACGCTCCAGATTTATTAGTTTCTTGTTAATTGCTCGATGACGGACGCTTTTCGTTTGTTTATTGTTACGGCATAGTGGTTTCTCGTCTGCTTTTTCGCCTAGGCCACACTGCGGAGAGGCAGGGAGCACAAGCCACTTGGCAGCAGCCTTTCTCTTGGCTGATGGAATAAACCACGGAATTTTGCTAAAAGGGGCCCCAGTACTGGAATATATGTTTTATCTCAAACAAATCGGCATTGCAGTGTCTCCCCTCTCTAACAACGCCCTTTTTATGGATATAAGTGAGTTCGTAATCCTTAAGCCTCCCCCTTAGTTCGGTTGGTCGTCTGCTTCTCCTCGCCTTCTCTCTTCTCTCTTGGTCCGAGTTTTTCTCTAATGGGTTTCAGAAGAGTCCTCACTGCAGTCTCGAAACTTGTCGACCTCAAACCGTACTCACTATCACGACTACACTGGGCTGTGCTTGTGTTCCACTCCTACTTATTCTGAGAAGCCAGGAACCCATCTTCGGTTCCTTTAGACCCTATTGACTGTTTTTTGCTGCAGCGAAGAATCCCTTATATTCTTTCTTCAAGATAGGACTAAATGTGTCTTTGTCTACGGATGACCCGTTAATGTTCCATTTTACTGACGAACCGCTCCTAGAAGAATATTCGATCGCAGCAGTGAGCGTTCCTCGAATTTTTCCCGGCTTCGATTATTGGATAGATGCATCCGATGTGGTTGCTTGTGCTTGTACACATACTATGTTGATGATCAGTGGAATTGCGCTGATGCAGTGGAACGCAGTAAGACTGTTGAAAGCATGGCATTTGCTACCTACTTCGCTTCAGTCGATACTTCTGGAAGGTGCAGCAGTCCCACTTTTTCTAATCGGCAAGATATGGCACCCCATCGTTTGCGCCCATCCTTGGGTATTCGCGTGTTTATGCATGCAAATAGCGTTTGTACTTCGCGCTGCACTGGTGTCCAGTGTTCATTGCCGTAAGAGCTGAATACTGCACCTGCTGCACCGCGTTACAGTATCTGAAACGATTCTTTTTTGCCCTAGTGATTGTTTTTGCAGCACGTGTGGAAGCTTTCTCCTGTTGACCTATGCGAACTAGCACGGAACTCTGTACTGCAAAGGCAAGTCTGCATCAGTGCGTGGATCGTTTTTTCTTTATCCCTTGTTTGCTCCACTGCGGTATGTTCGAGGAGGAAGCACTGAAGTTACTAGCACTTCACACTAGCGGAGCGTTAGATTAGGGCTCCACCAGTCAACAGGGAATAGTTGGTGGACCAATCTAGATATACAGGCACGTGCCTAGAGAGGGGAGCATGTGACCTGTTTTGCTTCGCTCACTCCCTTATGCTGTTATATAGATGAGTGAACTGCTTTTGCTTTAAGTGTACTTTGCCGTCTCTGCGGTTCTCCCTATTGTTATCTTACGTTACTCTTTGTTTTATCGTTTCTCACGCTGCACTCGGGTTTGCGTGTATTGCCAATGCATTGTTACTTTCCCTGTGCTTGTTCGTACCTCTCCTTGGATGTCCCCATCCTACTGCGCTTCACTACAATTTCCCTTTTTCCCATAGCGGGTTCGAGGACGAATTTAAGCGGCATTGGCTCGGCGACACCTATTGGATTCCGGGTTGTAAAGGAAATGACATGAGAAGAACAAACGTTAGCAACATCAGATTGCAGTATCGGTAAGGCTCCGCTGCAGGTATTATCGTTTCTGCCATTACACTGCCTATGTAGTCTGATGCTGCCGGTGAGTGTATCCATGGCTTACGCCATATTGCATTTCCTGTGGCAGTCGTACTTATCTTATGTGTTTGGTAGAGTGTGTCAGATTGGCGCTTGCATGGTTGTTGCGTGTACTTTCTACTTCCGCACTCTACAGGATTGACACATGGCGGGAAGAGCTGGAATACATGAGGGAGCTTTTGAATATGAGGATGGTTCTTACAGCGAATCAGCAGCAACAATCAGACATCATGGGCCCTATGCAGGCACCTCTCCAGGCTTCGTCGTCAAGCCAATTCTTGCAGGTTCCACAAGGGGCCACTTCAGTAGGCCTCCAAGAAAATCGCGCCTCCTCCCCAGCTTACACTGTCGACACAGCCGGCTCGCCGCGTGCAAAGGAGCGCCCCCATCGTTCCCGGCTGTATCCATCTTCTTACAATGATGCGCCGTCTCCTAGTTTAGTTTCTTCTAACCCACAGTCTGCTCTTTCGTCGCCAGAGCTGGCCATGCAAAGCACACCCGAGTTGCCGCATAAGAAAAGAAGCTTAGCGGAGCAGGAACTTGATGAGCTATCCTGTGCAGCAGAGCAACTTACCCTCTCGATGAAACTCAGTCTCCCACCATCGCAATCGGAACAAGAAAAGCCATAAAGTTCGGAAAAATAGCATACGAATCATGTGCTGGGCGGATATATTGTGGTCCCGTGTAACAAGGCTGCCGCGCTGTGAGGCCACCTACCGGAAATGGTGGCAGCTAAACGACGAACAACCAAAGTGGGAAAATACACTGCTTTTCGTGCTTGTCTGTTCTTTCCGCTTGGTGCAACGCCCGCCAAACTGCTCCATTGATACAGTGCAATGAATAATTCCGACATCTCCGCGTTTTCCGCGTAGCTGTTTGAGATGGAATTCTCCATCTTACAATGCTTGCGTTCCACTGCATTTTATTTGGTGACCAACGCTGGCTATCCCTCGTTTTTGGATAGGCCAAGCAGTAGGCAGCCCTTGTAGTAGGGGCCAGACACATAAGGCGTTCACATGCCTTCTAGGTAACCACACAGTTGCGGGGCGCTTTCCGTAGGCGTTATCTGCAGCTAGCGTCTTGGTAGTCTAAACATAAGTATTTTCCGGCTTCTTCTCAGCTTTTCGTTCGAATCTTATCAACGGGAAGTCTCATTCAACAGCTACAGCAAGTCGAGCAGTTGAGATGTGACTTGCCGTAGGCGTGCACAAGCACCGAGCAGTTTGAGTATAGTCACGTGTAAAGATGCTATGTCGCCGCGTGTTTTGTGTTGCGGCGAAGAGGAGCGTAGCAGGTGGTGGGCCCACCAACTCTCATCAAAAGATGAAATATACAGGGGACGTCGTGATTCTCATCTTTCTCTAGAATGAGGCCGGAGGAGGTGAATCCCGTTTTCTACCAATTTTCAACCCCCGATGTAGGTGCGAGTGTGCCACTCAAGTATCTCAAGGCATATTCCACCAGTTTCCAATCGCATTTATGGACTCTTGCATACCATTGATCCCTCCCCTCCCTCCCTAATGAGTGGAAGTGTCGCCTTGTCCATGTGAAGAACCTGGAATTGGACGTTCCGCTGAGACAGAAAGCTGTGCCCAAGATGGCCAGGATGGCCCCTTGCCTAAGTTGCGCCGTGGCCTAGCACGTGCCCTCGTATCCTTAAAAACGATTAGACCGGATAATTTTCAACACAATCCACATACAGCACCCAATGCAGAAGTACTTGGCGGGAATTTTGGGTGAATTGTTTGATACAGCCTCTAGCCTAACCCGAGCCTTCCACAACTCCCTGAATTCCGGCCAGTAGTAACTATTGCATTGGTGCAGCAAAGCACTAGTTATTCTGAAGTTTCGTTGGGTGGCTGGAGCGGGCAACAGTTCGCCCAGCTCTGGAGCTAGCATAGAAACCTCGTAAATTTATGTGGCTGTTGCGCACTTCATGCAAGGTGTATTAGAATTCACAGTGCACTTCGGAATGCCTCTTGTCCTCTGCAAAATTCATTTTCCCCCTTTTGCTCTCACGTCGTGCGCAAGTGCTGAACCTGGGCAACCTTCGGAGGAACAGTATAGTTTTTTTTATTAGAGGCCTGGACAGCTAAATGTATAAAAAAGGTGTGTGGCTGGGTTCCTCTGGATCTTCAACTCATGGCACTTGAGGCCGCCTAGTTTCGGTCTGACGGAATAGGCGCTGGTACGCATGCCTATTTTGTCTCGCAAGTTGGATAATGAGGTAAGATCAACTGTTTAACAATTGACTAAGGTGTTAGCGCATGCGCCAAAGGATGGATGGGGCATGTGTAGCAGCTTTGCAGCAGGAGCTGCAGCAAGGCGCCTTGCAATTCATACCAGCCTGCCCTACTCTGTCGTGTGGTTGTGCGTGAACTTAGACTTGCGCGTAGGCCTGCAATTCACTGTCAAGTACGTGCTAAACAAAGTTCCGCTGTCCTAATGGAACGCAGCAAATGAGGTCTGAACGTGCTTCCACTTGGGATTCAGTCGCAGCACTATTTGCAGTAAAGAGCGCCGCAGCTCATGACAGGCCATCCTCCCTCATCACTAGCCCCATACCCTTGCAGTGCTGTGTCCAGGGCATCTGGAGACTCAGTGGGTGGTCAGTTGTTTCAGGAGAAGTACTCCTTGAAATATATCACGCTGCTGCAACAAGCATGTCCTCCGAAGTTCGTGAGTTATCAATGCCCCGAGCTTAGTGCGACAGGACTTTCACAGAATCTTCTGCTACGTGAGCTAACACTGTGGATAATAGTTACACTTACTTAGTCTTCATTAGAAGTCTTCATACAAGGAGATACAGACGAGCTAAGTCCTGGCAGAACATGCTAGTGGTGGCCGGAAGACCATAAGAATAAGACATACGCGACTCGAGCCGGGTGACGCATGCGACCCGCACATAGGAGAAAGCGAATGTGTAAAATAAAATAAACACAGTGTTTCTGTAGGAACTACTGGGAAACCAACATTTTGAAAAGCAGGTATAAACAACTTCCTTCGATAGTGTGATGAGGGTGGAAATGCACCCACAGCATTAAGCCACGCAGTGGGAGAGCAGTTGCAGTTTAAGCGTTGCAGTTCACTTTTAAGCACTAAATTTCTTTGTTGAAACGAAATGTATTGTAGCATGCATGGCAGGAAATCTACTACCCAACGATCCCAGCTTCCATGGAAGATGGCAGCAACAGGGGCCGAGCAGAAATCCAGCGCGAATACAACCTTCTCGATTCGAAAACAGCTGAAAGCAATGAATTGCCGAAGTAAATGCTTTTAAGGTGTCTCTTAACTCCATTTTCCACCCAATAATCAAACTTGTTCACAATATTCACTACGGCGCGGTCAGCCCCCCAAAAGACCCTTGCCACACAACGGGCAAGCTCTCTTATGTATCTCACTAGCCAAATTCTCTGCTTGAATGTCCTTGACATAAAACTAGGGATCTGGATCGCTACGCTGTGAACACTTTTCCCCATTTCCTGTGTTACTGCCCGGCCCATCTATGCGAAACCTAATGAGGGGCCGCAATCAATGTGCCTCTTTCTAGGTTTCGGACTCGTAGGGCTATAGTCCATTCCCTAAGTTTGGACTTTTCCAGCTATTTCGCCGACATGCCACCACAATGAATATTCCAGCACAAGACGCGTGGCCCGCAAGGAGGCCTGTGCCTCAGTGCCTCCGTTTGTTTCTTAGTCTGCTGCCCCTCATTTTGTACCTGTCTGGCCCATTATCAGCCGCTGGTTTACATAGAGAGCCCCGTGCATGCGCATTATTTGTTTATCGAGGTGTAATCAATCATTCGGCAAGTAGAGGGCGAGGGTCCAGCACCTCCCGCGACTCACTTCCCTCATTTTTTGAAAGGTTCAGAAAGGGATCGAAAAAAAGCGAACAGGGACCTCAGCAGGTATCGCAATTTCAGACAGAGGTTGATCTCTATCGATTGCTGGGTATCCAGCGTGATGCTCCGTCCTCTGCTATTGCTGCGCGCGTGGACGAATTACAGAAACAGCAGCACGAGCAGTTCTCAGGAGTGGGGACACCACAGTTGGACCCCCTTGTGGCATCCCTTCTGCACGAAGTCTCAGAAACCTTGCAAAACTCCGAACAACGCGCTGCTTATGATGAGGGGGGTTATGTGCCCGAGCCTCTCTACGCCTTGCTGCAGCAGCTGCTACCCGCGCTGCCTTCTTCCACTTCACAGAAAGAACGCCAGGATGCAGCAGAAACCGTAGATCAAGAGGAGGAGCCGGAGGTAGAAAAAACAGCAGGAGGCCCTTCGAACTTGTTTTCCGCCATATTTGGACCCCATTTCCTGGGGAACAATAGCCCGTTTGCTGCAGTTAAAGGACGCCGCCGCACATCGCGGCCTCAGCGGGGTGTGGACGTGGAGAGCGCTGTCACTCTCGGATTCGTAGATGCAGCACTCAGGGGAGCATCCTCCCTTCCTGTGATAGTGCAGCGTCAAGAACCATGTGATGCCTGCTCAAGCTGGGACGACAGCAGGAAATTGAAAGCCTCTGCCTGTAAAGTGTGTGAGGGCCGAGGGATGCAGACAGAGGTGAGTTGATTCATATGTACGATCTGCTCATGAAGTGTATAGTGAATTACTGGTGGACCAGCAACCTGATTCATTGAGGACACTGCAGCTCAACACGATCAGGCTACTGCAGGCTGGCTTTCAGGCTGTATGAGTTGGCTAATATCCCCATATTATACTAAGTTTTCCTTGAGTGTGCACTTCGTCTCTGTGTGCCCAAATTAGCACAATAACTCGTGCACACGCCTGGTTCACTGGCTTGTGTACGGATATGGTTAATTCCATATGCTTACTTGGGTGTTTGTTTACACTTGCCAGCCGTCTGGTGTGCATGCCTATGAATATCAAGCCAATGCGTTTTCTCTTAAAGAACCTGTTCAGGCCTTAGGTCCTGCTCACATGATCTTCATGGGCTTGAACACGTGTACTTGCATTTCTACTCTGTCAATTTGTAATATATTTATCGTATATTTACCGTATATCTATGTTTGTTTTGATCTATTCACTTTTCTTGGCTGTGCACGGGAGTGTGCATGAGCGTAGATTTTCCTGCAGCCTTGGGGGCAGACAGCCACCGATTGCACGCTGTGTTGATGCTTGCCTACACGACGCTAAATTTCTTGGTTCTGTTTTCGGGGTCTATGTTCCGCGTACAGACAAGACGATCTTCTTTCGGCGTCGTCTCAACATCCATCAGCTGCTCAGCATGCGGTGGGACTGGAGAGTCAGGGAATCCTCCGTGCGAATCATGTGAAGGTGAAGGAATGGTGACCAAAGACGTGTCTCTTAAGGTAGGAAGCGCTGCTGGTGATTCTTGTGGTATATAGGTGATGCAGAATATTGTGCTGCTCTCCTGGTGGGATTACTACTAGGGTCAATCACAGTTATACCATGGCTACTGGAGAGAATGCTGCTCACTGTGCTATCGAACATGCTGCACCTGTCTATGTTGCTGCTGGTGTTAACGTTCTTTACTAGTGAAAGTGCCTGCTTCTATGGGTGAAAGAGGATCCGGTTCCCGCCGTGCTGGCTTCTCCTATCGTATTCACGGCATTTGCAGCTGCTGAGATTTCCCTTTAACCGCCTGTGTTACTTCGAAGTTTTGAACAATAGTGCTGGCGTTAATGGCCGCGGGCACAAGGCAATACAGGAGCCGGCGGATCACTAATGAGACTTTTTATTTATTTGTAATATTTTTTGGATATCCTTGATTTACATTGACAGATCAACATACCCGCAGGAGTCTCTGACGGGTCTCTGCTGCGCGTTGAGGGCGAAGGAAGCAAAGGAACAAATGGAGGGCGCCCCGGTGATCTGTAAGTGTCAATATGCGAATAACAATGCATACTTGCATCGACGACCCCCATCACTTTTGTGTTTACCGCGGATGTGGATCTTCACCAACGAATTTTACTATACAACCGCTCTCAGCTACTTTCACAGGTTCAGCTACCCGCCGGGATCGTACGGGTACAGAGGCGGTAGAGGTATTTGCTTTTGGCCTGTGTGCTGATGTTGGCCTCGTCAGATATATATTTGTAAACGTGGAGAAGCACAACCGCTTTTCTAGGGAGGGCGCAGATGTGCTTAGCGAGGAGAGGATTTCTTTACGAGATGCCGTCAGTGGCTGCAAACTCGTGAGCCCAAGGATGAGGGAGCTATTCCCCTTCCGCTTCCACCTGTTTCTCTTACAAGTGCAGCCTCCACTTGTCTTCACCGCTCAGGTCTGTCTTATTTTTGTGTATGTATGAATGGATGGAACAGAGCGTGGAGACAGTAGACGGCATGGCGGAGGTAGAAGTACCTCCCCTGTCGCGATCCGGCCAAAAGGTGCTCATAAGAGGGAGAGGAGCAAAGATATGTGACAGTTCTTTAGGAAAAAGGGGCGACCATATCATCACGCTACGGGTAAGTGACATGGCGTTGCAGCAAAAAATGGGTCTTCTGTGTAGGCGTTGACTAATCTTCTTGTAGCCGGAAGGGTATCCGAATAAGCGCTGCGCAATTGTGTCGCCGCATTCGCATGTTCAGGTCGCTCTGCCAGAGTCAATTACAGCTGAAGACCGCGAGCTCCTGCAGCGTCTAAAGGATGTGGAAAATGGAGGAGACAACCAGGAGACAAAATAAGAGTAGCCACAGTACGTAACGCAGCTGCAGAGTACGAACTCATTCATGGTGGGCTGCAGCAGCAACAGGACAGCTTGCATTTTTAGGGGCTAGGCTGTACGCTATAGCGAGCAAGATCTACTTGTGCAGTTTCTCGATGGTTCTAGTAGGCCAGTGTGCCTATGGTGAGGAATGACGAATAAGCGTTTTCATTCCACTTTATTTGCCCGACCGCAAACATGTACGACTTAGTACACCAAGCTAGAGCACGGCTCTTGGCTGCTTGAGTTCATAGTGTTTTAACGACCTGCTTTATCGTGTGATGTTTCCGTGTAAAATCTAGTAGCAGTGGCAGCGGCAATTCACGCACGGATAGCAACAGGAGCAATGGTGGAAATATCAATTTTTGAAGCAGGAGGGTCAGAATCTGTGGAGTATCCAGAATTATTACGTAGTCTGCCATCGGCACAAGTTAACAACTCTAGGGGGGGTCTGTCCTGTTGCTAAGTTGAGGGCCTTAAGTCCCCGTGGCCGTAGCCCGGATCCGTTCGCACACAGTGGAGCGCTTTCATCTAGCCAGTTGCTAATGAAGCGTGCGATATTCATTGGGAAAAGGGAAGAGGTGGCTTCAGTGTGCTTTGGAGGAGCAGTGGTGGGAAGGGCTGCGTTGGAAGGGAAGGATGTAGCTGTAGAGCATATGATGACACTAAGCGGTGGCAAAGGAGTGCTGCCTTTCAAGACGAACCCTCGCCCTTTGCTTCCCACTCGTGGCTGCAGGAAAATAACGAGTGCAAATGCGTGACGCAACCGACCAACGATGGCCGTCCTAGTTGCTTTTGGTGTCTCGCGGGAAAAACGTCTTTGGTACCTGGTTCGAGTTTCGAACATTGGAGGTTACCAATTCCTTGCAATTCCTTTAGGCGAGTATTGGGGTACTGCGGACGTCCAGGACTGGGTGAAGCGGAGCGAAGAAGAGGCTGCCTTGCTGTCTACGACTAAGATTTCAGTTACTCCAAATAGCACACTTGCTGGTAGGTAACATCACAAGCATACCTACCAAAGCCAAATTTTAACGCATTCAATGGCGCGATTGACAACTATCCAACATTTGTTTGTATATCACTAGCCAGCATGCACTCCAGCACAAGTACATAATAATATCGGTTTCAGGTAGATCCGTTTAGACTGCTAATGCAACGAAAAAAAAAAGAGGGAAAAACATTACCATGACCCTGAGGCTGGGCTACCCTGCTGGAGTAAGTAGAATAAAGCATTACTTTCTCAAAGTAAATTGTCAAATACACTGTTTAGATATTAGGAGAGCAAGGGCTTATTGGAGGCGCGATGGAGATTGCACCTGGGGAGCTGCATTTACAACCGGAGACAGATTCCTCCCTCATCAGTGTCCAGTTGAAGTTGTTACGGGTTCTTCCCCCAAATAACGGAGTACTTGTTTATAATAACAACTATTCCTAACGTATTCCGGAGCGATTTCGTGCTTCCTCCCTAAACTTTCCTCTGAACCTCCCCAGTGAACGTCCTGCAGTCCCAACGCAATACGGCGCTCGCGGGTGATTAGAACACGGATAAACAATGCCTGTTCTGCTTTTCCCTAGTTTTTTGCTTTTCTCTCAATGTAATTTGAATTAAATCCAATTGAATAAGATAAAATTTGAGTTTGATCCTGACCAATTTTTTTCGCTCGGCGAAAGTACAAGAACCTCGCAGCATCGACTGGAGAATCAGGGGCTCTTCGTGAGCACCCAGCGGAGCAGGTGGAGGAGGAGGCGCCGCAGGGATTGCTTGGGGATACTGACCGATGGTTTCCCCTATGTTGAAGGTCGTGGGGGCAGCCCTGCTGCTTGCTGGGCTGCCCTGTGTATACCCTGCGGAGCTTGATGGTAGGGCCCCCCCCCAAATCCCTGAAGCGACAAAAGAGGTAGTGAGCAAGCCTCGAGCTGCAACTGACCTGAGGCTAAGGGACACACAGGGGAATATCTTTCCTGCTCCGCTGCACTTCCACTTGGCCCTGGCGGTCCCCGTCCTTGCGTTGCTGCTGCTGCTATTTTACCCCCCGAGCCGTCGTCAGAGCAGCGGCAAATCCTCGACAGCAACGGGAGCAGCAGCAGTTGGACCCCCGTACGAGGGAACCCAAACCCCTGGGCCCCCTCAAGAGGACCCTCTGGCCCAGCAGCAGGATCTCCCCTCTCATCTCCCTGTGGAGGCCCCGTCAGATCCCCCTCAGGCACAGATGGGGGGCCTTGATGGCGAGTCTAACGACGGTGAGCCCCACTCAGGAGATGAAACGTCGGAGGCTAAAGATCTTCAGACAAACGTGCAGGCCCCAGGCCCCCCCGCGGAAACCTCCAAACAGCCGCAGGAGGGGCTCCCTATAGCGTCGGAGGGAAGAGACCCCAAAGGAGATAGCACCGAGGGCCCCGATGTTCCGTCTGTCGTTGTCAAAGAGGTATCAAAGGGAGAAGGGGAAAAAGGGACCCCTGAATGGGCGGCAGGCAGGGGTCGCCTTTCCACCCCACAGGAAGAACCCCCCGCAGAACCGCGGCTGAGCCCCAACATAAGCTGGCAGGAAGGGGCCTCTAGGTCCAAAACAGGGGCCCCACAACCTCTGCCGATGATGGCTCCTTCTGAATTCCAAGGAGGACTCCTTCCAACTCAGAAGGGGCCCTCTACCCTGGCTGCTGTGGCTGGGGGTGGGGGCGCTGTTAACCAGTGGCAATCTCCTGCCTCTCGGTTGTCCCCCCCCGCTCCTCTTCCTAGGGTGGGGCACCCATTCCCGCTCCATCGACAGGAAGGATTTTCTTCACACAGTCTGGGTGGCCCCTCTGGGTTTGACCGATTTGTGCCTCCTCCCCCACCTACCGTGGAAACTGAGATGGGGGGGACCCCTCCGTCTTCACAGTTGGCGCCCCCATCCGCACCTCGTCCCCAGAAAAGTATTGAAGCGGTGGTGGAGCACCCCACTTCGCATCCAAAACTAGGGCCCCCAACATTACCGCGTCCCGATAAAAAAATCGTTAAATCGCTGCTGAAGCGCCTCTCTTCGAAGAAAGCGGGGGTGCCAACTTCAGCTAATCCCCAAGAAGGATTTCTTCAACTTGAGCTGGGAGGCCCACCTCAGCCTGAGACGGTGGAGTTCCCCTCCGCACCTCATCCCCAGGGAGGACTTCCTAGACCCCAAATGGAGGGGCCAGCGCCTCTTGCTAGAGAGTGGTTCCCGTCACTTCCTAACGTGGGGCCCCCGTCACTTCCTAAGGTGGCGCCCGCACCACCACCTCGCCCTGAGAAAAAGACTCTTAAATCGATCTTGAAGCGCATCCCTTCGGCTGCAAAGAAGTTGCAGCAGGCTTTACCTAACGCCGCAGAACTACTTCCTGCTTTGCAGCTGGAGGGGACCCTACGCCATTACCGGAAAGAACCTCCTGCATCAAAGTCGGGGGACCCCCCTTCTGCAGAGATGGAGCCAGCATCCAATCCTCAGGGGGGACTTCCTGCACCTCATCTGGGGTCTCACAAGGTTCTTCCGCCGAGGCCCCCTCCGCCGCGTTTCAAAGTCTCACCACCTGTCAAAACGGGGCCTCCTGAGCTGGGGGGCCCGCCTCCCCTTTCCACGAGGGAGTCTTCCTCTACACTGTCTCAGGAGAGTGAACCTTCTGCACCTGGAGTACAGGGCCCTCCTCTGCAGCCGATGCGACCTGCACCGAAGCCAGGGCCCCGGGTGGGGTTGGTCCCTCAACCGAACGCGGCTGCTGCAGATGATGTGTCGGTCGCACGTAATCCGCCTCAGCCTGTTCCTACGGCGACCCTTGTTGATTTGGCTCCTCCTCAACAACAACAAGCGAAAGATGAGTGGGTCGCACGTTTTCCCCAAGATACAGGGTTCCCCCAGCCTGCTTCTACGGTGGACCTTGCTGGGTTGGCTCCTCCTGCGCCTTCTCCAGAAGAGGGTGATGCGTGGGTCCCCCTTGGTTCTGTGGATACGGGGGCCCCCGAGCCTGCTTCTGCGGTGGATGCTTTTGGATTGGTTCCTTTTTCTTCTAAGGAAGAGGGTGATGTGTGGGTCCCCAGTGATTCTGTGCATGTGGGGGCCTTTGAGGGTGCTTTTACGGAGGACCCTTTTGGACCGTTTAAGCCTCTTGCTCTGGACGAGGGTGATATGTGGGACCCCCGTGGTTCTGTGGATACGGAGGCCAACCACCCTTTTAGTACGAATATCCCTTTTGAATCGTTTGCTTCCCCCCTTAAGGAAGAGGGTGTTGTCTCGTTCCCCCTTGGTTCTGTGGATACAGGGGCCCCCGAGCCTGTTACTACGGTGGACCCTCCTCTGTTGACTCCTCATCCTAAAGAAGAGGGTGATGAGTGGGCCCCCCGTGATCCTGTGGATACGGGGGCTCCCCAACCTGCTTCTGCGCTGAACCCTTTTGGATATTTTGCTTCCCCTCCTAAGGAAGATGGTGATGTGTCGGTCCCCCGTGGTTCTGTGGATACGGGAGCCGCGCAGCCTGCTTCTGCGCCGAACCCTTTTGGATTCTTTGCTTCCCCTCCTAAGGAAGATGGTGAGGTGTCGGCCCCCCGTGGTTCTGTGGATGCGGGTGCCCCCGAGCCTGCTTCTGGGCAGAACCCTTTTGGATTTTTTGCTTCCCCTCCTAAGGAAGATGGTGATGCGTGGGTCTCCAGTGATTCTGTGGATACGGGAGCCGCGCAGCCTGCTTCTGAGCTGAACCCTTTTGGATTCATTGCTTCCCCTCCTAAGGAAGATGGTGAGGTGTCGGCCCCCCGTGGTTCTGTGGATGCTGGTGCCCCCCAGCCTGCTTCTGCGCTGAACCCTTTTGGATCTTTTGCTTCCCCTCCTAAGGAAGATGGTGATGTGTGGATCCCCCGTGATCCTGTGGATACGGGGGCTCCCCAGCCTGCTTCTGCGCTGAACCCTTTTGGATATTTTGCTTCCCCTCCTAAGGAAGATGGTGATGTGTCGGTCCCCCGTGGTTCTGTGGATACGGGAGCCGCGCAGCCTGCTTCTGCGCCGAACCCTTTTGGATTCTTTGCTTCCCCTCCTAAGGAAGATGGTGAGGTGTCGGCCCCCCGTGGTTCTGTGGATGCGG